TCAAGTTCACTGCCCATATATATAGGTGACATAATACTAAGTCTTTTAATATTAGAATACATTGTTTGATCCAGGAAAAGCTCCAACAAGCTCCTAATTTTACTACTCACGAAAATATTAACTGCTGTGAAGGACAAACTTAAGAGGTACTGTGCAACAACATATTCAAAACGTGATGTAAATTAAGTGTGTATTCTCAAAAACTCCAAAGAACTACAAGAAAATTTAAAATCACTGATTTTTTTTTTAAAAAATGAAAAGCACCCAAACATACGATTTTTCTAAGCTTGATAGAGTCATTCCTCACGACAACTTAAAGACTGACTTTTTGACATCATTGTCAACTACTTCTTCAATTAAAATGGTTCTCGGAAACTTTCACATGATTCGTGTGACTGGTTCTTTACAATTTTAGATATATCTAAATGTCGAGTTGAAGGCCTGGCAAGTGTTTTCTTCTTTTCACGTACAAGATTTTGGACAAATTCTGCTTCATATGAATACAAAAAAAGGTCTGCTAATAATGGGGCGCAATTGGTACCCATGGGAATTCCAACAGATTGTTGGAAGACCTGGTCTCCAAAAACCACATAGATAATGTCAATCAGAAACTCAAGCATCTTTCTAATGTCAACTTCAGAGTACTTGTGTGTACAATCAGAATTTTATTTAACAAAATAATTGCAAATGACCAATGACAAGGTAAGTATATTTACGAGTTCCATTTTTATTGAAAAAACAGCAGTCAATTATATCAAAAAGCCTGGACTTTAATTTATCGTGGGGAATGGTAGTGTATAAAGTAGAAAAGTCGTAAGTTTTTAAGCTGTTGATTTTGGTAAAATCTTGTGATTTCAAATTTTCCAAAAGTTCCTTGGAATTTTTAAGTATCCACATCTGATTTACACCACTTCTCGAATATATTGTTGCACAGTACTCTTGAAGTTTCTCCTTCACCACTGTTAATATCTTAGTGAGGAGTTAAGAAGGAGGCTTGGTTGAACATTTACTGGAACCCGCTATGTATCTTTGTTTGTAAGGATTTTTATGAAGTTTCGGAATCCAGTATAAATATGGTAATTCAAATTCATTTTGGTTGTTTGGAATATTAAAAATATTCAAACCTGACATATGATTTTGAAGAATTTCTTCCTTAGAAAGGGAACTACGAGTTGGATTACCACTTGTAGAATTAAATCCAAGTTCCTCTAAAATACATTTAATATAATGAGCCTTACAAACAAAGACAATGTTGTTACCTGCTTTGTCAGCAGGGACCAGTATGTACTGATCATGTAATCTATCTTATTCTTTTTTCACTTCTGGATTATTGAATACAGAAGGATAGATGGCTCTCATCTTGCCCCTTAATCTTTTAAAGCGTGATTTTAACATACATCTGATACATTTAATCCATTCTGACAAAGTTTCAAGGTCTTCTTTTTCATGTCTGGCCCATCGCCTTGCGTAGTCCTCTACAGAATCCATAATATTTATGAATTTCCGACGCCAGTTGAAGGATCGGGGTTCTCTAAATTTAGGACCTTTTAAAATTAGTGATCTTAGGTCCTCATTATTAACTATATTTACGTCACCAGTAATAACGTGTCCAGCAGGACTAATAGTTATAGGGCGAAGAAGAACATGAACACGATGGAGGATTATGTTTCAGATATTCGATATCCAGGCCCTGTAAAGTTTTCTTGTAATTAAAAAGTTTGAGAGCAATAGTCGATGTATATTTGTAGGAAATACAAGGTGTACCGTATATACTAGCCTATAAGTCGGTTTTTTGGGAGTTAAATATCGGTCCAAAACTCTATGTCCGACTTATAGGCGAGTCATAAAAAGATTAGTATTTTTTTCTGGAGGGCAAAGTGTAGTATTTTATTCACATTTACCCACGAATATCATTGAACAAAATCTAGATATATTATATCATTTATGTATTCTAAAATTACACATAAAGTACAAGTATTTACATATTTTAATAACTTTATTTTTATCTTAAGTGTGTGCATGATATATTTTTTTAATGATTTAAAATTAAGTATTTCTAAAAAAAATATTAATCGAAACCAGGTTAAACATCAGAGCATTGATTTGAAATTGTAAACTGATTCTGGCAAAAAGTTGTTCCGACTTTTAAGCGGGTCAATAGCAAATCCCTCCAAAATAACCTCAAAAAATACAACCGACTTATAGGCAAACCGACTTATAGGCGAGTATATACGGTAGTCTTTAACTTGAAATATGGTGAAATACAAGACTGGACCCTTTTGTGATTAAGAATATTACTTATATTAACCGCGTCAATCCCTTTGTTGGCATATTGAATTTTAAGGAAAAAACGGATTGTTGTGGAATTAGGCACTGATTTTATTTCTTTGTTCATATTGTTATGAAGCAGTATTCATTCAAGAACTTTTACTTGATAAGAAGAAATCTCTAATGACCTTAATATAACATTGAGATATATTGACGACGTCTTATCAATTAAGAATAGTTATTTTCCTTCATATGTCGACTCGATCGATATATCCCAGTAAACTCTTCCATTATTTATGCAGTAATGTCCCAATATCACATGCATATGGTGTTAATTCAACAGGCAAGAGCATGTTGCGAGTACGATCAATTTTTAAGCCGAAACAGGATATTACAGGTCTTTTAACAATCTCGTTTGAAGTTAGCATATTGCATTGCAAATTATATGGTCGATATAATGACCTTGTTTGCAAATACAACTTATCGATGGATCGTATTTTTAATGACTTATTTCGTATCAACTGTAAAGTCATGCTTTACACTAATTTTGACACAGAGGGCCTAGGGCAGGTGAAAACAGTTGACAGTGATGCTCCACCTAGTCCCTGATCTAGGGAGAAGTGTTAAGTTGTAAGCCCAGGCCCCAAGACCATAAACTGAGAACAGACTTAAGTCAAAATTTCAAATCAATATAATTTTTGAAATAATGTTGGTAATTAAACGAAATTTTCAACATGTGTATGAATTTATGAATTAAACAAACCTGAAAGTTTTCATGTTTATTAGAATTCAAGATATTCAAAATCAAAATTTGGACTTAAGTCTGTTCTCAGTTTATGGTCTTGGGGCCTGTTCGCGATTCGTTTTGCTTACAGGATTTACGAGATCGATCATTGTTCGTTATCTTCAGCTTTGTTTTATGTATATATGAAAAATTAGGACCATGGTGTTATTGTTGATCTCATATATGGCACATTATTACCACGGGGACAATGATTTGAACAAACTTGAATCAAGACTACCTGAGGAGGCTTGGATGTAAATATGAAGAATCATTGCCTTGTTGCTCTTTACAGAAGATTTTAAGTTTTTCCCCTACTCAGCTATGTTAAGGAAGCAAATGGAAAATGCGATCTTAGTACATTCTTAATACCGTAGGTATTATTTTTAAAAAAAAAAAAATCTTTGTAACAAAGTAAATGTTAACATGTAGGAAAGGTAATATAGATATCCATAATGGATAGGTTTGTGGCTTACTCAGTACCAGTTACATTGCATGTATCAGCTGTGTGTCACGTGACTGGTATAAAAATAGAATTGTTCAGCTGAATGTAGAAAATGATGCTAGTGCAAGGGCATACGCATGTTTTTGGAGAAAAAAAATATACATATTAAAAAAGATATACATCGGCTTCCCAAAACGTGCTGGGAGCTACTTTGAGCTGTTAGGGAAATACTCGTAATTCTGACGAAAATGCGTATAATAGCTCAAAATTTTCACTTTGCTTAAATTCTGTCATAAATAAAAATAATGTTATGCCGACCAGAATCAGCTCCCAGCACTTTTCTAAATATACTTGATATAAGCAATTGATATTCCGCATTTCATCTCAAACAGTCTAGTCTATGCCCTTGCACTTTTGAGGTTAATCGGGTATACAGGTATCGTGTTAGCAATATTCTTTACATAAATTATCTGTCTTTGTGCAGCTCCATAGCACCTAGATAAATTAATAATCTACATTATTGTTTTAAAGAAATAATTTCCTTTTAATTTCATTGATTAGATTTAAATATTGGTGATGGTTTTATATTTATTTAAGCATTTTTGTAATTATTAAACCAATGGATCCACTCCTCTGGATCACTTGTACTGCATCAAGTCAAGGCTAGTGACGTCATTTATGACAATAGATTTGCTTCTTATAAGTAATAACTCGGCAGTATTGCTATCAAATGTTGTGACTGTACAAGCTTTTATGAATAATTGATAAAATAAATGAATGCAAGTTGTAAATTACACATCATCATGAGGTTGAATAGATTTTTGTCTATTGTTAAATTTTTAATGACGTCACAATGAAACTTCCCATACGGTGCATCACAGATGTGAACTTAGGCCTTCCTTAACGTAGCTGAGTATATATTACCATTAAAACTTTGATCCATTATTGGGGCCCTATCCGATCCTGAAACCCCTATCCCCAAGATTTTTCTTAATTCAAGGGTGCTTTGAGGCAGGTTTGGTTGAATATGGTCAATTGAATCTGGAGAGAAAGGACAGCATGTAATTAGGCATCATGTTCAAAAGCAGTCTTATACTTCAGTCAAAATTTCAGATATTCCTAAAATGACTATTTATTAATCACTTAGAATTTTTTATTAAACATCATGAAAAGAAAACAAATTTTAATTAAACTTCAGATTTTTATGTGTTTCTTAAAGAAAAAAAATGAAATCAATGTACAGAATTAAATATGACCTCAGTCTAAAATGCTACATGATTTGGGACCAAAAAATATCATTTAAACTTTTGGTTCAGGTGATCAAGAAATGGTGAAAACACCAGAAAAAGATATTGATTAATATATATATATATATATATATATATATATATATATATATATATATATATATATATATATATATATATATATATATATATATATATATATATATATATATATATATATATATATATATATATATATATATATATAACATTTGTCTATATTTCCTAGCAGTTTCAAATATTGTCTGGAATCAGTATCTCGTATCCCTTCAAACCCATAAGTTTTTTGGTACTGATTACTTATTTCAATATTTATTTACGAAAGTTTAGGGACAAATTGCACCGATTTGACACGCTCCACTATCTTGATCAAATTGCGAATTCTCTGGACACTTTGTAGCTTTTGCATGGCCATTTTGACATTTATAAAACGCGTCACATGGAAGTTCAAGAAACTGGTAGCTGCCATTTGTCTTTCCAGCGCATGATGGAAGCTTACCATAGGAATACTTATCCCTTGGTATCTCAAATGAAGATAGACATCGTCCATTATAAGGAAATGATCTTGTATTCCATGTTGGGTCAACCGGACAAAAGCCCTCTCTAAGAAATCTTTCTCCATCACAAATCATGAAGTAAGGCGAAGGCTTTTTCACGCCATGTTCATGCAATCCATCGGTTTTGTTATCACAACTTGGGAAACTCAATAAACATGGTTCTGGACTCCAGAAACTTTGAATCATTAGTCGATATTTACCTGACACAAGATAAAGAGCATATAATTTATTTATCTGAAATTATCAAAATTGCAAAATACTTGAAAATTTTTATTTCTTTTTTTTTTATCAAAAGAATTACTTTTCATAAGCATTCAAGCAGCTTGAAAATATAAAGCCACTTACATTTATCCTTAATTTCACGTCTAGTTTTGCATGCCACTTTTCTAAAATTGTCACACCTATTGGTTTCGAGTGAAAATAAATTTGGATAGTCGCATTCCATTAAGTGTTGCTCCATTTGTTTTGGGATAATAGAATAAATCACTGAACAATTGTAATACAATTGACATTCCTCTGGATGGGGAAGAATCAACATGTCATTCACAGAACAACTGATATTAGGGGGAAGCAATGCTGAAAGTAAATGGAAATGGTGGACATATAAATGTGAAAATAGATTTTTTTATGTTTTAAAAATTATTACTTTTTACTGGCAAAACAGTTTAAAAAAAAAAAAAAATAATAATTTCTTGTCTTATTTTAAATAATGTTCAATGCCTTACCTGCAAATGTATTCAAGATCTTTATTTTTTCCAAGACATTTAAAAGATGCTTATTTGTTTCCTGATATATTTTGTAGTTTCTCATTTTTTCCTTTTTCAAATCCTGTTGACATTCGTTTATGTAGTAATCCAAGGTATGCTTGAAATCAATGATGAGGTCATATTCCTTGGCATTTGTTTCGTAGATTTCCTGAAGTAGCGCAGTATTGAATGAAATCAAAATTAAAAATGAAAACATTTTTATACGATGTTTTCAACACCTGTACGCTAGGAATAGATATCTTTGATTTAAACTTCCATGTTCGCTTATCAGACCACGATATATGCACCCCGGCAAGTTTTATTGTAATTTAAATACAAAACACGTGATCTCAAAAGTTGTAAGTTAATCAGTTCCAACAAATTTCTGCAAAATAATCAGAACATTGCTTTGGTCTGTATCTTTCACAGACCTTTAAAAAAAAAGAGGTATTATCTATGCATCCATGTTTGTCAGAAAAGAGAGCTCTCTAGACTAAATGTGAACGAAAAAATAAGTAAATGATACTAAAAACATGGCCACTTATTGCAAAATTTAAATAAGCACATGTTAGAGAGAGGGGTGTGTGTGTTGTGTGTGTGTATGTAAATAAGCACGTTAGAGAGAGAGAGAGAGAGAGAGAGAGAGAGAGAGAGAGAGAGAGAGAGGAAGTGTTTGTGTGTGTGTATGTGTGTGTGTTACTAGTTGAAGTGTACATTGGTCGATTACTGGGGTAAGATAGGGGACATATAGGGCTATCATTTCTCGCTGTCAGAATTAGACTCTAGTAGTAACACCTAGTGGTGCAAAGGGTTAATTGCATATTGAATGAAAAATGTGAAGATAACGAACAGTGATCGATCTCCAAAAAAATCTACAAACCATACAAATCTGTGAATAGGGCACAAAACACGGAATCCCGGAAATTCCAGAAGTGGGATCAGGTGCTTAGGAGGGGTGAGCGTCCCCTGTTGATGGGGCACACCCGACGTGAACCCTGTGTTTTGAAAACCACGTTTTGAGTTAGTAAAACGTCCAAATATGAAACAGATGTGGCAGACTCTCTGGTGTCTTTTATTTCAGGTTCACTGGGATATATCGAGTCGTCATATGAATGAATGTAATTGTTGTTAATTGATAAAACGTTGTCGATATATCTGAATATTGAGTTGATTGATCGATTGATTGTATATTGTTTAACGTCCCATTCGAGAATTTTTCACTCACAAGAGACGTCACCATATACCGGTGAAGGGTTTCAAATTTAGACCTTTACTCGGGACTCAGGGCCATTGCAGCGAGAGATCTTTATCATGTCAACGCCTGTCGTGACACGGGGCCTCGGTTTTTTGAAGGTCTCATCCGAATGACCCGCAACTCTCACTTCAACGTGCCGAGCTCTTGGCGTTGTTACCTATTTTTTATTGACAGGTCAGTCGCAACCGGGGTACGAACCCACGACCTTCCGGAGTGAGCGCTCTACTAACTGAGCTACGGTGACGATTAGTGTTGAGTTGAAGGTCGCAGTTGAAGGCCATAGAAAGTGTTTCCTCTGTAGAAGTTTTTAAATAAATTTTGCTTAATAGGAATATAAAAGCAGGTGGGCTTATAAAGGAACAAAATATTAATGCCCATCGAAATTTCTACATTTTATCGGAAGACCTGGTCTCCAAAGGCTACATAAATGTTGTCAATGAGGCACTCCAGCCACCTTTAAATATCAAATTCACACTACTCTTGTGTAGAATCAAGGTGACTTTTAGCAAAGTTATTGACCAATCACAAGATACTAGAGTTCTATGTTGAAAAAGTAGTTATCTATGATATCAAAAGGTATATATATATATATATATATATATATATATATATATATATATATATATATATATATATATATATATATATATATATATATATATATATATATATATATATATATATATTTTATTTTATTGTGTTATTTTTGTGAGGAATAAAGTTTGGAAAAGTCGTATGTTTTGATGTTTTTTTTTTTTATTTTGAAAAAAAAAAATGTAATTTAAGTTTTTTTTTTTAAAGTTCTTTGACATTTCTGAGAATCCACATGTGATCTACATCACTTCTTTAATATGCTGTAGCACAGTACGTTGGAAGTTTCTCCTTTACAGCGGTTAATATTTTTGTAAGAAGTAAAGGTAGGGACTTGGTAGAGGATTAGCAGGAACCAGCAATGTTTCTTTGTTATTAAGGATTTTCATGAAATTTAGGAATCCAGTATAAGTAGGGTAGAACAGAATAAAATCACCTTGCAGGGCTCTGATTGGCGGCTAATTTAGTCGCCATGGCGCCTAAAACTTATGATTGGCGCCTTAAATTTTTCTATAAGTTGCCAAATTGGCGACCATTTTAAATTGATTTAGTGATTGTCAAATTACTGAACTCTACTCATTTTCATTTTAAAAAAAAGAGCAGAAAAGAACTTTAAAAGTTAGCAATGGACATGTCTCTATATATATTGACATCAGTTTTTAGATTAATGCTTATTAATAAGAAAATTTTACCTGGCGACTAATAATTTGTATTGGCAACTAAATTTTTTTGATTAGGAGCCAAATGGCGCCTATATTTTAGAGATCACATGGAGGCCTGCCTTGGTTGACTGGAATGTTAACAGTTTTAAACATTGAAATGTGATTTTGAAGAATTTCATCCTTTTTAAAACCAGGTTCTTCTAAAATACATTTATAATAATGAGCCTTACATACAAAGTTACAAACTTTGACTGCTGTTACCATAATATATTGTTTCTGTAGTCTTTATAATTCTTATTATCTTCGATTTAGTGAAAACGGAAGGATAGATGGTTCGTAAATTTCCTTAAGTTTTAAGTTTCTAATAGGATTCTTTAATATATTTCTAAAACATTGATCCATTCTGACGAAGTGTTCAGATCCTCCCTTTCATATTTAGGGTTCTGTCGACAATTGAAAGATCATGGCTCCCTGTATTTAGGACCCTTTAAGATGATTCCATTTAGGTCTTCATTTTCAACTATATTTACATCACCAGTAATGTCCAGTGGGACTGCAGTTAAAAGAAGATGATCTTTAGTAGACTGGTAACACTTGACAAATGACACACTTTGCAAATGGCAAAAAGCCCAGTGGGCTTTGCGAGTGATTCTACAACTAACAGATAGAAACATGGATACGAGAACATGAAACAAATGACTATGACGTCATAAAGAAAGCTATTCTAAAGCGGTAAAATTGCACGGCAAGCACGTACAAATTTAGGTAAGTTCAGAGGTTGTAAGCAATTCCTAATGAGACATTTAGGAAGTTTTGTAACCGTGCTACAATTTTTTTTAATATTGGTGCCAGATGGAAAAGGTAAACAAAAACTGCAATACTTTAGTTGACGTTCTTATGCGTGAACAACTTACTAACAGTTCTTCCAGAGATCTACAAATCTGGTTAAAAGAAAGACAACCAAAGTCAATGGAAGAAATGATAGAATTAGCAGGGGCTTATCCTGCACATTAAGGTTCAGTGGAAATGACCAAAGGACCAATATCCCAAAGAGAGGTAAGAAACAAAAGTATCAGAGTCTGAGGCAATATTAATCCTTTGGTAAGTCAGAACTGTTGCGAACAGTCGCAATTTCAAGAACTTTTACAGAAATTGAATGAATTGATTTAATCATGTGAAATCTAGAATGTTCTATATGTTACTTGAATAAATAATCAAGAATTCTCTAGAATATGTGAGAATATGATGACCTAGAATTTTACAGAACTTTCTATTTCTAGATGTTTCCTTCATAGTATATAAGTGACAGTTTTTGAGATTGAGAAAAGGATTGAGATTAGATTGAAAACAAAGATTAAGTATATATCAGAAAACATTCTGAATATCTTAGCCAATGTGGTATTGTGTTTGTTAGCCCTTGTGGATTTGTTATTTGCCTTTAATCGCCATGATAAATGATAAAGATTTCCGTGTGATTGTGAGTTGCCACATTGTTTGGTGCCGGAACCCTGGATTTGGAACCTGAAATTAAGAAATTATCACGGAAAAGAAGATGTCAACCTCATACTTGAAAGGACTTTGTACAAGGCACAAGAATTTACTTATGAAAGAAATGGTTAAAAGTAAGGCATTTCTTTCATCAGAAGCTGTAGAAGAGGATTTGACAACCAAGTTAAGGCAGATTCAATCTTTCTTGAGGCGGTTAAAGGACTTTGGTGCAAAACTTGAGGAATCGATGAAAGAATTTTCCATTGCCTTAGAGGGCAAAGTCGACAACGAGTCTGAAATTGAAAAATTTACTGAAGATAGTGAGATGCTGTTTGAATTGCTCTCTGAAGTTACAGAGCACTCTGAAGGACTTCTACTACAAGAAAAAAGATTGGAGCAAATGGACATTTCATATTTGAAAACGGAAGCATCAAATGACCCAAGAATAGACCACATGATAGATCTGCAGACACGAATGCAGGAACAACTTTTGCATTTCCAAGAACTCCAAATTCAGGAATTGCACAGGAAAGAGAAGATTTACAAAGAGAAAGAAACTCCAGTAGTTAAACTTCCAAAGTTTGAACTACCTTCATTTAATGGAGATAAATTAAAATGGAAAGAATTCTGGGACTCCTTTGAAGCTTTAGTGCACAAGAACTCGAGGCTTTCCAATATTGAAAAGTTCAACTACTTGAAAAGTAAAATGGAAGGAACGGCACAATCTGCTATTTCCGGCCTTATGCTCTCCCATGAAAATTATGATGTAGCTCTCTCAATATTGAAGGAACGATTCGGAGATGTGCAGTCTGTAATAAACAAACATTACATGGACCTTATCAACATTAAGCCTGCACTCAATAACACTTCCAGTCTCCGTAGATTATTGGATGAACTAGAAAAACATATGCGCTGTCTAGAAGCCTTGGAACAGGATGTAAATCAAGATGTCTTTGTTTCCATGATAATAACAAAGTTACCAAAAGAAGCCAGATTACAATTAGAAATACAGAAAAGAAAGAAAGAAAAGTGGACTGTGCAAAAGCTGAGAATATTTCTTGATAATTACATAGTAGCCAGGGAGTCTACAGGTATGGACAACCTAGCCTCTCATCAAGAACAATCTGCTACAAAAACACCATTACCTGGCACGTCATATATAAATACCGTAAAAGGACACGTGCATCTGCAGAAGCCCTAACAACATTATTTCAAGAATCACAAAGAAGAAACAAATATGAAAGAAAACATCCCATATGTATCTTCTGTGAACGAAATCATTGGAGTGATGAATGCAAAGAATTCAGGACAATTGATGGCAGAAAACAGAAGATCAGAGGAAGATGTTATATTTGTCTTAAACCAGGCCATCTGAGCAAAGACTGTAAAATAGACAGACCGTGTGTCCATCGCCATCAGACAAAGAGACATGATCGAAGTCTCTGCAATAAGAGGATTCAGCTTTCGAGAGAACCCTCACACTTTGCTGAAACATTAGAAATTTATGACATAGAACCAGTTAACAGTGTTCCAGAAAACAGTCTACTCTCCTCAGGTAGTATGGTGCTAATGCAGACTGCAAGAATTGATGCATCAGATCTGAAAGGAAGGAGAGTTGAATCTGCAAGAATATTGATGGACTCTGGGTCTCAAAGAACATATGTTACTGAGGAATTAGCTTCAAGGTTGAATTTGCAGAGGAAAAGAACAGAAGAAATATCTCTCATCACCTTTGGATCAACGAAACCAAAGATAGTTAAACTCCAAATGTATCTTTAAGAATTAAAGTAGAGGATGGGCACTGCATGAGAATTGACTGCAAATGTTGTGCCTCAAATAACTGGATCAATACATAGAAGACCGTTGCCACCTAACATCACTGAAAAGATGTAGCACCAATGGAAACATTTACAATTTGCTGATACTCTACCAAAAACTACAGAAAATTCAACCATAGACATCCTTATTGGAAATGACTATAATCTTGATTTAGTATCATCAGAGAAAATTGAAGTTAACCCTGGACTTTACTTACTATCATCAAAGGTAGGATGGATTCTTACTGGAAGAACACAAGAAAATTTGGAGGCGTCCAGAGATCATTTACATGAAATACTGATTGTAAATGGAAATAACTTAACAACAGAATATTGTCTTCATTCCTCCGTCGATCAATGTTTGCCCTCGAAACCATCATTGGATGAGTATTGGAACTTGGAAACGATTGGAATCAAAGACCAGCCTCACTCATCAGATGATGACAAGGCTTTGAAAAACTTTACCGATACAATAAAACTAGTCAATGACAGATACCAAGTCACTTGGCCATGGAAAGATGAGCAACCTGAACTCCCAGAGAACAGAGAACTTGCTTTTGGAAGGTTGAGATCTTTAATTCAAAAACTTAAAAAGAACTCTAAGCTACTTCACAAATATGATGAAATAATTCAGGAGCAGTGCAAGCAAGGCATCATTGAGAAAGTGACAAAGAACAGTGAAGTAAAGAATAGTGTCAAACACTACATACCCCATCATGCTGTTATTGATCCAACAAAACCTACCACAAAAATGCGGATCGTTTATTATGCATCAGCAAAGTTAAAACCAGAGTATAACAGCCTGAATGAATGTCTTTACAGAGGACCAATGATGCTAAATGATTTGTGTGGACTGTTGTTGAGATTTAGAATGAAAAAGATTGCAATTATTGCTGACATAGAAAAGGCATTTCTGCAGATTGAATTACAAGGAAAAAACAGAGATGTGACAAGATTCTTTTGGTTAAAGAATATTGACACTCCAACAACAGAGAACAATATTCAAGTGTATAGATTTACGAGAGTTCCATTTGGAGTTATATCAAGCCCTTTTCTGTTGGCTGCAACTTTAGATTACCATCTTGGAAACTACAACACTGCAACAGCTGAAGACATAAAAGGTAATATCTACGTAGATAACGTTATCACTGGTGTAGAGTCCGTCTCAGAGGCTAGGAAACTATACACAGATGCTAAAGAAATCTTCAGTGCCCTGTCAATGAATTTACGAGACTGGGCATCAAACTCCAAAGAATTTAGTAAGTATATTCCTCCAGCTGATCAAGCTAACAGAGAAACCATAAAAATTCTTGGTTTATCTTGGAAACTTTCTGAGGACTCCATATTTATAAACAGTCCAAAGGATGAAACTCAAATTCCACCTATCACAAAGAGGAAAGTCCTTCAAAGAATTGCTTCTGTTTTTGATCCACTTGGATTCTTCACCCCAGTTACTTTGAGAACAAAGTTGTTTCTACAAAAATTATGGAACCAAAAGAATGAGTGGGATGAAGAACTGACCAAAGAAGACATTCAACACTGGGAAAACATATCCTCAGATCTGGATGATATTCCCAGTTACCATATTCCTCGTTTTAATGGACTTTCTGGTACAGTGACATACAATTTAATGTGCTTTTGTGATGCATCAACGAAAGCGTACGCCTGTTCGGTTTATTTACACCAGAGCAACAATGAAAGAACTTCAGTCAACCTGCTGTTTTCAAAAACTCGATTAGTGCCACTTAAGAAAATAACACTACCTAGATTGAAACTGTTAGCTGTTGTCATTGGAGTCAGATGTGTACACTTTGTTGAACAGCAACTTAAGTTAACTATCACAGAAAAGATCCTTTGGACTGATTCCCAGTGTGTATTGCATTGGATTAGAATGAAGAAACCTCTACTACTTTTGTGGAAACAGAGCAAAAGATATCAGGAACAACAAAGATATCAATTTTCAATATGTATCTACAAAAGATAATCCAGCTGATATTGCAAGCAGAGGAACAACAGTTACAACTCTTCAAGAATTGGAACAATGGTGGAATGGTCCATAATGGTTAATTAAAAAGAGAGATGACTAGCCTTCATGGAACAGTCAACAAACCTGTAAAGAAGTTCAAAATGCCATAGAATCAGAATGCAAGACTCCAAAGATACTTTATGAAGCTAAACTGATGGCTGGGGAGAGTCCTAACGGAAGTAAAAACAATTCAGATTCTGACTCAATGGATATCCAGGCATTATTGACTACCACAGATTTTCATCATTTTTACGTCTTATTCGAGTTTTAGCATGGATTCTAAGGTTTATCAAATTCGAAGAAAATTCAGATGCATGCGAACCATCTAACTTCCTCAGAACTACAGAATGCCAGAATTCTTGTGATAAAGAATATTCAAACTCAGAATTTTAGTGATATCAAAATCGCGCTCAAAGAAAATAGGAGAAACAATTTAGTTAGTCAACTAGGACTGGTATTAGATCAGGAAGGAATTATCAGATGCACTGGAAGACTCGAAGATGCTCAGCTGTCAGAAGGAGCAAGAACTCCCATACTTCTTCCAAGAAAGAACCATGTGACGGGGCTAATTATTGATTACATCCATAAAAAAATCATTTCATGTCGGAGTTTCCCACACGTTATCATTGGTTCGTCAAGAATACTGGATTCCACAGGGAAGATCAGAAGTAAGAAGAATACTACAGAAATGCACAGTCTGTAAGCGGTTTGAGGGTGGTCCTTACAAGATGCCGCTAATGCCTCCACTACCAAACAAACGTGTGAGTGAATCAGCACCATTTACATACGCCGGAGTGGATTACTTTGGACCAATCTTCATTAAAACAGAAACTGGCAGTAAAAAGGTATGGGTGTGTCTATTTACCTGCTTGGTAGTAAGGGCTATACATCTTGAACTCATGCAGGACATGTCCACAGAACAGCTTTTACTAGGACTAAGGAGATTTATTGCACGTTTTGGCAAGCCAAAACAAATCATCTCTGATAACGGTGCTCAATTCAAACTTGCAAGCCTGGTGTTGGAAAAAGGTTGGGAAAAAGTCACTTCGGATAAAGATGTCCAAAGTTATATTGCAAATGAAGAGATTCAGTGGCAATTTATTGTGGAACTGGCACCATGGATGGGAGGATTTTATGAACGTCTGGTTGGTGTCAAACGATGCTTAAGAAAAACTATGGGAAAACTCTGTTTAACAAATAAGCAGATGAGAACTATGCTTGCAGAAGTCGAAGCAGTTGTGAATACTAGACCCTTAGTCTACATTGGAGATGATATTAATTCAAACATCACCTTAACTCCAGCACATTTCCTCACTTTGAACCCAAAAATAGGACTTCAAGATAGTGAAAATTTTGATCCCATGGATCCAGACTATGTACCCCATGCAAGCTCTGTGAACACTTTATTGGCAATTTGGAAGAAAGGTCAACGACTTTAGATACATTCTGGAAGACATGGAGAGATGAATATCTTCTAAGTCTAAGAGAAAGAAAATCTTATAAATTAAAAGGAAAACGAATTCAACACAATAGACCAGTAAAAATTGGTGATGTTGTTCTTATCAAACAAGATTTACCTAGAGGAAGTTGGAAGATCGGAAAAATTTGCGATTTGACAATAAGTCAAGATGGTCAGTTCAGATCGGGAAAAGTAATGTTACCCAACAAAAGGACATTAAACCGACCTATAAATTTACTCTATCCTATAGAATGTACCGATGACTCAGATCATGGTGACAGTGATGCAAATAAGGAAAAACCAACAGTCAGTGATATTCCTCCGTTGCCCAGAGCAAAGAGACAGGCTGCTGAAAAAGCCACAAAACTGATTAAAGAACAATTAAATTCGTGACAGACTTTCCTTGGCCTTGGGAGTGTTGCGAACAGTCGCAATTTCAAGAACTTTTACAGAAATTGAATGAATTGATTTAATTATGTGAAATCTAGAATGTTCTATATGTTACTTGAATAAATAATCAAGAATTCTCTAGAATATGTGAGAATATGATGACCTAGAATTTTACAGAACTTTCTATTTCTAGATGTTTCCTTCATAGTATATAAGTGACAGTTTTTGAGATTGAGAAAAGGATTGAGATTAGATTGAAAACAAAGATTAAGTATATATCAGAAAACATTCTGAATATCTTAGCCAATGTGGTATTGTGTTTGTTAGCCCTTGTGGATTTGTTATTTGTCTTTAATCGCCATAATAAATGATAAAGAAGATTTCCGTGTGATTGTGAGAGAAGGCATAGAAAAGATGTTTTCAGGGTCAAAGAGTGAGTGACTTTATAAGAAATAGTCCTTTATGGAAGCAAATGTCTAAGATTAGTACTACTGCCAGTTTAAGACAACCAGTTCTTGCGGAAAGAAATAGCACAGCACAGGGTCATTCCGGTAAAGATAAGTCAGGTTTGATTCATACACCAACTATAACTAGGAAGGCAGTGGTAATGAAATTTCCAGTCATAGCAAAAGAAAACGAACTTAATGTAGCGTTTCCGAGCGGTCTTAGTTAATTCCTTCTTGTAATATTCAGGTAGCGTAAAAAATCCAATGTCCACAAATATTCATATGGTAATCCCTTGTCTTTAATATCATAGGTTTCTCCTCTTTGTAATAAAACTCAATAACTGGAACCTTACAAATGTTTTTTAAATCCAATGTAAGATAGAATATAATCCAAAGAAATTAAAACAAAATAAATCCAAAATATTAAAGGATGAGTTAAAGGCACTATAAAATCACTTAAGAAAACTTCCTAACCACGATTTCTTCACAACTCCTTCTATAACTACTTCCCCTAATTATTCAATTATCCCGTTTATTTACTCTATTGACTCCTCTTTCTCCCCTCAACTCCCCCTGATCTATTTAACCTAGTCTAGACATAATTAATTACTAACATATTCTCCTCCCATTGATTATAATCGCCTAACTTTCTCCTCCTTACTTAATTACCACTAGCTCCCCATGACCTGTCCACAGTCTGGGTCGAACCTCCAATAAATCTATCTAAGTGACTGGTGTAGTAAAATGGTACATTTAAACTAAAGCTACAGAATAACATGAATTCATAAGTAAATATAAAATAAAAAAAACAAAAGAAAAATAATATATCTACGCTACATTATTGTTAAGTTTGATAGTCAGATCATAGAGGACTAAGGTTGAAGAATACTCAACGAACGGTAAAAGTACACCTGCACTGAGAGATATACTTCGATACAGGGTGCACAAATATCGACATTTCACTTATTTTTATTGTATTTAGTAACTATCTGTAAACTTTTGAGTTGAAACGGGGTTAAAATGCACAGTCTGGTGTAAGTTTAATTCTGATCAGATGAGAAAGTATATTGGAATTGTGCAGCAGTTTTATCAATCTTGACTTCACAATATTCTTTGTTAGCATTATACATTAAAACTGAAAGAACAGAATTTTAATGCAATTATTCAACAATTTCAGTTCTCATGACCTTTTTAGTCATTTGTGGTAGACTTTGCATTCATTTTGTTTGCATATATCCTTTCAACTTATATCAAAATCATAGGTTATTAGTTATATCAACTTATATCAAAAACTTACATTAAAATCATATGACTGTGATGGAGAAACATGAAAAGCTGTTAATTCAGAGATGGAAATGTTGAAAGTGTGGCAACATATTTCTCTGGCAATTTGCCCAGATGATTTTTATATTGTATCTTTCTTCTTGTTTTGTTTTACTTTGTAATTTTTTCATTCATTTTCATATTATATTTTTTGTGTTTAATATACACTGTAGTTGTATTGTGAAACATGAAGATATTAACGAACAGTAATCAAGCTCCAAAATCCATTAAAACAATATACATTTGAAGCAGAGCAAACACTAAATCTCTAAAAATATCAGAGGTAGGATCAGGTGCCATGGAGGAGTAAGCATCCCCTGTCGACCAGTCACACCCGCCGTGATTTACATGTACATGCACACTGATGTAAGGGTTCAGTAAATATTTTAGTGAAATTTTTTTATGTTGCATAAAGATTCTTACAATAATTAAATCGACAAGCCAATGAAAACGGTACCCCGGGCCTGCTCTGGGACTGCTTTTTGTCAGGTTGGGTCTGGTTGGTACTGTAGATGACGTCTATCAATGCATGACAACAAACTTACAGATGTCTTCATGATGTTACTTTTTGGAATTCTTTTTCAGTTCACCCAGAAATCTATCAAATTTCTCACATGCTGTTTTATTTCCATGTGTTTGAATAATCTTTAATCGTGAAATTGAGTTATTATATTAGAATTATTTGAATATTCCAAAGTTCATTTCTATATTCATTCTGTTAATTGTGTGTTGATTAACTCGTTTAGCGTCGAATGTAAGAATGAATGACGTTAAGGCTGGATTCTTCTCATATTTATTGTATCTAAAAATTAATTAGTTATTGGCTTGAACATAAAATAAAAAAAAAATATTCGTATGACGTCACAGTCTATGTCACTGTGTTAAGAAAAGACAGAGGCAAAGGCAAAATCAAAGAAAATGTAATAAACAGAAAATCCAATGTTTTGTAGTTGGCTATGGAATTTATTTCACGAGTGGGGCAGGATTTTTTTTTATATTTTCACTCATGCTTCGCACGAGTGAAAATATTAAAAAAATTCCATCCCACTCATGAAATAAATTCCATATCCAACAACAAAACATTGAATATCCTCTCTATATATAATATGAAAATGAATAATGTACATGTTATACTGCCCTAATATAATAGTTCTCTTCTAAACAGAACAAAGCAAAATTGTCATTCCTTTTTTTTTTATTCATGGTTTGGAAATTTTTAAATTATATCAGCATGAAAGACAATTAAAGATTTTAATTTTTATAGTCTAAGAAGCTACAAAATTTTCTGTACATACCATTACAATTGGCTGACATTACAAAATGTACTGAAGAAAAAAAAAACAGGAAAGAAAATGTTTCTGAATTTTCATATTACAATCAACGTTCCTGTTTTCTATTTCTAAATTTTGCCGCTTAATAAACTAAGATGCATGCAATTATGTTAATTGATGATTTAACATAATTAATACATAATAAAAACAATAATATTATTCATTAAAATGTACATAAAAATACATAAAACAAACCAAAATACATTAAATTAAGTCCTTAATGCTTATTCACATGACAACAAAATTATAATCCATCACACATACCCACATACATACAAATATATAATCTTGATGAATTATATTACTGTTTAATGATAATCCTAGCCTGATAATAGATTTATCTTATTATAATCATGATTTTCTTAGTCTTTTCTTGTAATTCTCTTTTTTCCTTTCCAAATGGCGACATCTACCAAATGCCAATTCCAGCTTTGTTTCTGAAGGCAAACGTTTAAAGATGCTGCTTTCCTTATAAGAATCCAGAGAAAAAAATCTCAGATGATGTAAAGCCTTCTGGTAGAGTTGTTGAAATCCATAGGTTGTGGCTATATATAGGCTGTCTAGTAAATATCTCAATCCTTTAGATACTTCTAAACTTTGTAGAAGTATATTTTGACAATCTTTCTTCAGATAGTCCACTTGATATTCATCTACATAGGGTAAAATCTTTGTGAGAACATCCCCTAAATCATGGAATAAAATAAGGGAATTACTATATTTATAGCTTGCAGGTTTCCAAGAATGGATTTTAATCTGTAGTATCATCTGAGGAAGGAGCCAGCAGCAGACACAGCAAACATATGCTACATTGTTTAGAAGTTTAAAAAAAAGAGAAATCTCGCAAAACCTTTTGGGTGATCTGCATGATATAGAAAACAGTTGATTGATTGATTGTATTTTGTTTAACGTCCCTCTCGAGAATTTTTCACTCATATGGAGACGCCACCACTTGCCAGTGGAGAGCTGCAAATTTTGTCCTATACTCGGCACTTATGGCCATTGAGCAGTGAGGGATCTTTTTCGTGCCAGCACCTACTGCGACATGGGACCTCGGTTTATATGGTCTCATCTGAAGGACCGGTCTCCACGTCCCACAGTGGGATTCGAACCCGGGACGTAAGGATCAACTCCTTACTTCGCGACTCTAGAGCAGACGCTCTAACCACTGCACCATGGGGGCGACAAAAAACAGTTGAATACACTGCATTCTTTCTCATTTGCATGCATGATGTAGAAAGGAAAGCAGCATTATTATATCAGGTTCTGACAATATGAAAATAAATTATCTAAAGCCCAGTAGCTGTTCCACAAGTTGATGACCTAGTAACTATATAGTAACATATTACATGTATATTGCATAATTTTGGGCAAATCATCATATGAATTACTAGGATGTTAATATATATAGGAAATGAATTTAATTTTTGACATTAATGAATGAAGTACAAGAACTATGAAGCTTCTTGCCTGAATATTTAACATGAAAGGGCTGATGGTTTCATGGATTATGAAGCTGCAGATCTTCAGTGCACTGGTCTGAAAAATTTAGGATGGATGACAAGAGAGCTGCAGTGCCACCTATTGCAGCAAATTATAGCTAAGGTTAAACTTTCTCAAATGCAAATCAAATATGTTGGTACCCAAAGTAAGGTCATGTCTTGAGGAATAAAGCCGTGAAATAAGAAAGCCCTAGCAGCAACCATTGAATACACTTGGAAAAGGTTAAAGCTTTTTTTTTCAAAAGTAGGTCAAACATCAAGGCCAAGGTCAAAATTAATGGTGGCCAAGGAAAGGCCTTCTCCCAAGAAATACACAGGTGAAATATGAAAGCCGAAGCACCAATCGTTCAAAAGTTATGGCCAAGGTTGGAGTTTTCAAAAAGTAGGTCAAACTCCACGGTCAAAGGGTCAAAGTTGTTGGTATCCAATGGAAGTTCTTGTCACAAGGATTACACATGTGAAGTATGAAAGCCCTAGCCTGACCGTTCAAAAGTTACGACCAAGGTTAAAGTTTTTCAAAAGTAGGTCAAACTCCTAGGTCAAGGTCAAAATTGTTGGTATCCAAAGGAAGGTCTTGTCACAAGGATTACATATGTGAAGTATGAAAGCCCTAGCACCAATTGTTTAAAAGTTATGGCCAAGGTAAAAGTTTGGATTTTGCAAAACTGATACAAGGACATAAAAAAAATGCAGATGGAGAAAGAAAAAAAAAACCCATCCACCTTGACTTATCAGCTTTTGCCTTTAAGTCGAATTGACCTCAAAATCAATAAGGGTCTTCTTTAAGTCACTGTAATTATGATATAAAATATTTCATTGAAAAACTCAATGAAAACTAAAGTAACCTTGATAAAGTAACCATTTTTTGCAATGTTTGAATTTTTGACATTGACCTTTTGACCTCAAAATCAATATGGATTTTCTAAAGGCTGTAAGGAATTATAAAATTTCACTGCAAATGAAAAGCTTAAAAATTGATGAGATATCTTCCAGAAATAAAAGTTTTACACATAGACAGAATGTATGAATTTCTGACCTTGACCTTTTGACCTCAAAATCAATAGGGATTGTATTTAGGCCATAAGAAGTTATGATATAAAATTTCATTGTGAAAGACTTTTTGAGATAATGTCTGGAAATGAAAGTGTTACAAACAGACAGAATGATGGATGGACAGAACCAAATTAATATCACCCATTCACATGGAAAGCAGGGGAGAAAAATATTACATGTACATGTTTTTTTCCCCAAAGTAACGTGAAATTTTTATCCCTTGAAAACCATTGTTGACCTCCATTTTGCATCTGTCAACAATGGTTTTTGCAGGATAACAATTTCACAAGTAATTATAATTTAATTGTAAGAACCTTTAACAGCAGAGGGTAGTCATTTTTGACCAACATATTGGGTTTGTTGCCATTTTATCATCCACTGAACTCTGTTAGCATTATCTAGTGAGGTGTGACTGACCTTTAAGGTATTTCTTGTCACGTATAAATGCTGAAGCCAAAGAAAACAGAAATTTTGCTGTTTTGGTACTGCACCTGTACTGATTGGCCACCATATTTACCTGTGAGAGGAGGTCGTTCCCCAGGATAAATTTGAGCTAAAAACAATACAAAGTTGTCATATTTCTTTCCAGGAAGTTGAATCTCTTGTTGCCTCTTTTCTTTGAAGTCTGATGTAAACATTGTTTTAAAAACAGGAGAAACATGCATGAGGATAGCTTTCGTCACATAAATTCTCCTCCCCTCTACAATTAAAACAAGATCTGTAACACCAGGCTCTTCTTCAAATTTACTCATAGTGTCTGGGACGTAGGATTGTCAAATTTTATTGTTTCAGAGCAGTTCCTATGTAGAACCTTTGATAAATGTTTGTAAAACTCCTCTCCTCAGACTCCTGTGATTCAATGCATCGAAACGGTGAAGTAATCAGGTTTTGGTGAAATAACTTAGGCTAAACCTGAAATAAGCAACAAAGCACTGCAATAACTTAATAACCTCAAAAATCAATTAATAGTGATAGCAGCTAGTGGCGCAAAGCGCCGCTCGTCACTGCGAGCTCTATAAGCAAGCCTGGGCGAAGAGAAAATTCGGACTTTGCACATATTGATCCAAACAAATTTTTTTCCGCTGTAACCTGTGGTTCCATAATGCTTTGTGAATTGCATCTCACCACAAATTACGTTATCACAGTAGCAACAAAAGAAGCATTCTTCATTAAAACTAGCACTGTTCAGGCTTCCATTTGGTAATGCAACTTACATACGACGTCAGGGGTACTACTAAACAGAGAACTCCAGAGAACCCTAAGAAAGCCCTAATGATTTTGAATTATTTATCGTCTGTAAATGAAATATTTATGTTTTAAATAACAAAAAAAAAAAAAAAAAAAAATAATAATAATAATAATACTAAATAAAAAAATAATGTGAACGAATAGTAAACTTATGTTATAAAATTATTATTTTCAATAAACACCGTTTTTGAAATTCAATCGGGATCGAGATGACATTAAATATTTTTTTAACCATCAATTTTGTGGTGTCGGGTGGTTACGTTCCGATTCCGTGTTCGACCCGCGTGGTTACGACCCAAGTGGTTTCGACCTTCTCTAATATATATCCCTACATGTCAATACCTGAGTACAGGGGTATACACTGTGAGGTAAACAAATGGATATTCGGTAGCTGTATATTGTATGGCTTCAGAGATGTGCGTGTCAATAGGTAGTTGTTTCCGTATATGTATAGTCAACATGCAGTGAGAAGGTTTCCTAACATTTTTTTTCTACTATCGCGGAGCATGGATGTTGATAAATTTGATTTGTAATGTATTATATTTGAACAGTTTTTCCATAAAAATTAATTAAATACTTCTTCAAATGTACCGTGATCACATATGCACTGTCTAAACAATGTATGTTTCTCCAAATTAAATTACATACGATAAATAACACAAATATACGTGGTCGATATAAAAAAAAATGTAGACGAAAAAATGAAATGTAAAACTGTTGAAAGTGTTAATTAATTTCGTTCCGAAGCAATTAATTGTTAATTAATTGCTTTGGAACGAAACCACTCGGGTCGAACATGGATTCGTGTCGAAACCACTCGGGTCGAACAAGTAATCGGAACGTAACCACCCGCATTCAATTTTGTTACTTTAAAAGTTTTCGATTATTTTCGAGGGAAAACATTCATAAAATGATCTTGTTTTTGTTTGAATGCATAGAATATGATTTAAAAAGTGAAAATCAACTCAATTGAGTATGAAACTTAATTTATTTACCAAATAAACGCTGAGTTCTCTAGGGTTCTTTGTTTAGTAGGACCGATCTGCACTCGCCTTAACGGTCGCACCGTCAACATATTAGCTAAGAAATATAGAGCTTTTAAGTTCAATTCTTACCTATACCGTTATATTATAGCCGATTTTATCGTAGATATTGGAGCCGGAGGAAATCGACCGCCATTATCATGATTACTGGGTTAGAAAGCTCGTATTTCATGCCCGATTTTTTTTTTTTTAAATCATGCTTCAGTTTTGTTTATGTTTATTTCATTTCCTTTTGTATTGTTTTAATATGAATATTCCAGTATGATATGCCATTATGTTTGATTTCAGTTATAAAATTAATAATGGACTATCCGGATTTTTTCGACTTCGAATCAGATTTTAGTGTAAAGGTCTTTTAAATGTTTCAGGAATTGATTATTTATACTTGAAAAACACATTTGCTCTACATCGATTGTTTGCCAACATGACGGATCGAGATAGTACTGCTTCGGAAACTTCGTCTACTCCAGCAACTAATCCTCTGTCAAGGAAGCTGAACAAGATTCTGGAAACTAGACTTGACAATGATAAGGTAGACCACAGGAGTCTGCATAAAACAACGTAAACAACAACCAGTGAGCTTCGCGAGCGAAGCGATCGCTACGCTCGCGAAGCTCACTGGTTGTTGTTTACGTTGCTTTATGGATAAAACTACAGACTCCTGTGGGTATACATACAAATCCAAATAATCTGTCTGACCATGCAATCTTGTCCGGGCCATAATTTTGTAATGGAGAAACACTGGAAGCTAATACATGTACTTGGCACCATAGGGGCTTGTCTTCCGGAGTGCGGGACGGTTCGCCCCGAAAGACCATTCGCGCTGAGACGTTTCGCCCCAAGACGGTTCGCGCCGAAGATCAATTAATCAATTATGTGGTAATTATCACTTGTTAACAGCAATTATTAACTTCTTAATAACTTTTGTACTGTGCTATATAAATCCAATCCATTGGTTCAATCAATAACCCGTAATTGGCGACTTCATTGTATATCCCCCCCGGCCCGCCCATAACCACACTAAAATTGAAAAAAAAATTGTCAGACCTGATTTTTTTTTAATGAATTCCTGTTATTTAAAAAAAAGAAGATATTTCTAAATGACCTGATATTTTTTTTATGATGTGAGAAAACAGCAACTCGTGATTATTTTAATGACATGATGATTTAAAAGAAAAAAAAATATCTATTTTGATGTAATAGGCATAGAAATGTCACTTTTGAAATTAGTTATATGAAAAGATTTTTTTGAGAAGTATATTTTTGATAAGAACTTATCATGCTTATATAGCATTACTCAAAATCGCAAAGAAAATTGGAGTCAGTGTGCATCCTAGCTATTGAGCAACGGTAAAATGAACTTGACACCCGTCTCATAATTTAATTCTCCTCTTTATCTTGACATGATGAAGAATCTCCAAATTATAGTTATAACACCTTACTTACAAAACTGAATCAGCCAATTATGATTGCTGAATAAACATAATTATATCTGCACATGGATAATTATACATTTAATTATGGTATAAGTCTATTTTCAACAACTTTTAAAACATAAAAGTTTTTTAGTAACCTTAGAACTTTTTTTTAACACAGTCAATATTAACCTTATATATAAATATTTATCTTAAAACATCGTAATATATCGTTGTAGACAATGTAGACAATGTAGATTAAATTGGACGCGAAACGTCGCGGCGCGAAACGTCTTTTGGGGCGAATGGTCTCGGCGCGAAACGTCAATAGGGGCGAAACGTCCCGTCTTCCGGATTGTTAAATATAAAATAAATTTTAAAAATTTTGAATCTTCTTTAAATACACTTAAAAGTTGTTAAAATAGAGATTCTGACACTTTCAGTCAAGAAAAACCACAGTTAAAAAAGACGTACCACACCTATATACATAAACTCTACAAGGGACGAAAGCTCTCGTCTTGGAAAAAATACCCCAACCGACTTCAGCACCTATTTCTGGACTCTAAAGCATTAATTTATTTCGTTGCCATAGTTCTGTCCCATACGTTGATGATTTTCCTAAATGTTGATGCGTTTGTCAGTCGTCAACACACGTTTAATCAACAGAAAACGGATACAATTTCCTCGATTTGGTGGGGCTCATTTTTCTAATTCGACCTGGGTAGAATGGAAGTTTATGTGGTTGCATGGTAACGATGCAAGGGCATTAATCGTGGTATAACATATAGCTCACTTGTATAGGAAGTGTCCTGTAAATTTTGTAACAAATTAGTTATACATTAAATAATATGAGTCTTCCCGGTGCCGCCTTAGTCCCTGAAAACCAAACATTAGCCAGTTTTTATCATTTTCACTGTCTTTTCTTGTCGGTAAACATTTTTTCCGCGAAACTGGAAGTCCATGGGTGTTACCATTCGCTTTCGATTACCCTCTGAGTTTTCCCTATACATCTATTATCTGCCCTTGCAATTTTGTAAACTTCCATTCTTTTGAGATCGATGAGCTTTCGTCCCTTGTAGAGTTTATGTATATAGGTGTGGTACGTCTTTTTTAAACATGGCTTTTCTTGACTGAAAGTGTCAGAATCTCTATTTTAACAACTTTTAAGTGTATTTAAAGAAGATTCAAAATTTTTAAAATTTATTTAATATTTAACAATCCAGAAGACAAGCCCCTTTGTTTGGCACAGAGATTGCTTTTGACCCAAACGTAAGTCATGACCTTAACCCAAGGTCATTCCTGCAAGTTCAAGGTCACTGACAGAAAAAAAGTATAAAATTGGGCTATATTTTAAATTTGTAATAGAGTATCAATGGAAGCTCATTCTTGGCACAGAGATTGCTTTTGACCCAAGGGTAAGTCATAACCTTAACCCAAGGTCATTATGGCAAGTTCAAGATCACTGGCAGAAAAGTAAAAAATTCTTGTCAGGGCTATAATTTTGTAATGGAGAATCATTTTAAGCTCATACTTGGTACAGGAATTGATTATAACATGTGGGGTTAATCATGACCTTTAACCAACGTCATTCTAGCAAGTTCAAGGTCACTGGCAGTAAAGTTATAAAATTAGTGTCTTAGCTTTAACTTTGTAATGAAGAATTACTATGAGCATATACTTGATACAGAGATTACAGATGGTTCAAGGGTGTTTCATGACCTTGACCCATGGAATGTCAGACACCTCGGCCCAACGACACCTCGGCCCATTGACATCTCGGCCCAATGACACTTCAGCCTTGACTGGTTGGCCCAAAATTGAAGACACCTTGGCCCATACATAAAGCAGTTAAAAATCGAAATCGTGCACAGTCAAATTGTAGAATAAATAACTTTATCTTAGTCTCAAAAAAACTTTACCCTAATCGTAAATAAATAGTTCAAAAACTTTACCCTAATCTGCACCAAAACTTTGACATGCATTTTCTTTTTAATTACGCTAAAGTTGAATTCAGTCTTCAAGTGAGCATGTAAAACTGAAGCTGCCAGACAAATTGTGCAAAATAAAGAAAAACTTTACTCTAGAAATCACCAATATTTGTTTGAGAAAATGTGAAGTGTTTTTGCCTATCGCCATCTTGGACTCGGGTAACGCACTTTACCCTAGTCCGTTTCTACACAGTGTGGATTCTCCAGTGCGTGTCATGTTGGTGACAATGATGGAATAATTACGAGCAGGGTTAATTTTGAGACAGTCATTCTGAACATTTACATCCATTTATTTCTTAGGAATTCCACTTACATTAAAAATAAGTTCGAGCCCTGATTTTTTTTTTTTTTTTTTTTTTTTTTAGCTATCTGTATCAAACTGTGTTTTTCAATCAATGAACATCATACGAGGAACTTAATTCAGATCATTCTAATGCAATTATTTTATGTACTTAAACTATTATTTTATACGATTATTTATACTGACATAAGTATTTAAACAATAAAACGTTCTTCTTTTTTTTTTTTGTTGATGCAAGATTAACGACCGCAACCATGTAGCAGAATTTCTTCGTTTATCTGATTTATGCAATTTTCCTGTAATATAGCTGCAATTGTTAAATTCTCGCATTTACAAAAAAGTTACTGTTTAAATGAAGTCCATATATCTCATGTATATATCTTTTCACGAATATTATCAGCCCATCTCAGATGTTTCATATCGTCAGAGAAATAATGCAAAATGTTACGATAAAGTTCCGGCAATTCTTATAGAAAGTCAAATCATAAGAATGCTGTATATATTGGGGATTTTCCACAAGAGATAGATGTTATTTAAGGACCAGTTTTCTATTATGGAACCCCCCCCCCCCCTTTGACTTTTAATTTAAAAAAGTCTTTTTTAAAACTGTCAGAAAGAATAATTACATTGATAATAATAACAATTCAGACACTGAATTATTTTTTTCTATCATAAAATTTCGCTTGGGCCGATGTGTCTTTTAAATGGGCCGATGTGTCAATAATCTTGGGCCAACCTGTCAGGGCCGAAGTGACATCAGACCTCACGGGCTGAGGTGCCGTTGGGCCGAGATGTCTGTCTACTGACCCAAGTTCATTCTGTTAAGTTCAAGATTACTGGCAGAAAAGTGTAAAATTCTTGTCTTGGCTATATTTTTGTAATGGAGAATCATTGGAAGCTCCTTCTTGACCCACGACCAGTACAGAAATTGTTCATGAGGGTGTGTCATGACCTTGACCCAAGGTCATTCTGGCAAATTCTAAGTCACTGGCTTAAAAAGTGGAAAATTCATAGCAGATGTATAATTTTTTTGTGGGGAAACTTTTGTATGTCTATATTTCACTGAAAGATTACTAATGATCAGAGAATGTATCTTTTTTTTTTAACCAAGATGTTTTTGTCAAGTTCAAGGTCACATTTACAAAGTTAGAATGGGCACTTGAAAAAAAAGATTGTGGGGTGGTTTTATTTTGTGAGGTTACTCACAGTACCTCTTGTTTACACAATTTTCTGCCTATTGTTGTAGGATAGGTGATCCAAACTATTGCAACTAAGTTTAACTTGCAAACCTCAGATGCTGAAAAAGGGGGGGGGGGGATTAAAGTAAAGATTAAATATATTCACACAAGACCAGCTGTAGACATGGAGACTGTGAAATGAATGAAGAAATAAAATTTGATTCAGATACTTGGCAATATTCAGGCAGGTTCCTTATAAGGTATGACAAAGAAGCTTCATTTGTAAACAGGTCATGGAAACTGTAACTGAAGTTCCTTTCAGTAAATCCAATTGTTTAAAATGTTGTCTAATCTAAATTATTGTCTAATATTGCTAATTTCTTTGGAACCAGTGGTGTCTGGATTAGATAAGTTTTACTGGATTTGAATTTACCTGAAGATCGAATCTTGAAATCTTGGTAATATTTCAGTTTTATTATTCTAATGTTTCTGATGTAGACCCTTACTTTTTGTCTGATTATAAATTTTAAATGTAAATAAGTTCTGTAATTCAAGTGCTATATTTTTGCAATTTATATCTTTGTTGTACAAACATTTTTGTTTTCATTTTATTACATATATTCATATAGACAGTCATCATTGAAAATTAGAATAAAATATATTATTACATGATGGGTACATGTATATATTTGGTTTTGAGTTGTTTTGAGTACAGTACATTAATTAAAAGTGTTTGTATTTTTATCTGTATGATGTTAAACTGTTATCTGTAAGATTGTTGAAGGTATATCTGAACAAGACTTTATTGCATTTACCGGTACGAAAGTTTTATGTGTGTTTCCTGGGTAGTTTATTGGACATGTTTATGATGTGCAACTACAGGGATAAGAAATCATATTGCCTAATTCCCAGGGCTAGTGATTTTCTTTATTAACCACTTGCCCAAGGTCAAATAACTTTAAAAAAAAATTAATAAATTTTGGTTTTACAACTAGACACAGGGCTTAATTGTCATGACCAATTTGTCTTCTACCTTTTGAAATTTATGGTGGCTGGGGCAAGTTAATTTAAAAATTGAGATAGGGCAAGCAAATTTGGACCATGCACTTGCCCATGGGCTAGTGCTTGAAAATCTGTTTGTCAGCCCCTGTATCAAAAATATGTACATACAATTTTCAAATATTTCAGGAAATGCTTGAATCTCTCAAAGCCTTGTCAACATTTTTCATGGAGAACAGTCTTCGAACAAGAAGAAACCTCAGAAGTGATATAGAACGCAGGAGCCTGTCTATAAATGAGGAATTTTTACAGACTTTTCAAGGAGTTAAAGAGGTGGGTTTACGAATAATGTTGGTTTTAGATAACAGTTGAACTAACAACGAGTGCCAAATTAATTCAAATTGACTTCATATTGTGTTTTCTGAGTTAATCAATTGGATATACCGGGTATATTTTGTTTAGATGAGTAAATTTATAATTCGATACATTCAGTTTTCTCGAGTTGGGTTCAGTGAATCCTGATCAAATTTTGTCTGTCATCTGTCTGTTGTGCATCTATTGCCTGTAAATATTTTTATGTTTTCAACTTCTATAGAACCAATGTGGGTCAGTTATATTCAAGACTGGCACAATGAAGCATCCTTGGGTGATGGAAATTTAATTTATTTTGAATGAAGGGCAATGCTGCAATCAAAGGTATAATGATAAATCATTATATGAAAAATTAGCCTAAGGATAACGAGTAAGTAAAAGGTTGGGTTGAAGTTACACTAGTAGGTTTTCTGATAAATATCACAGCTAGTGCACCATCTGTAGTTGCTTCTCTCACAGGAGCTGGTAATTAACATATACTGTGCTTTATTTTAATGTGATGTATATACATATATATACTAGACTAGTGTACAAAAAGGTATATACACAATGGTGTATAGTGATCATGTGATATCAAGCATAGTATGTTAACAGGTTACTGGCCCCTATGACTTCTTCGAATTGTAGCCTAGATATGGGGTCCTAATGGAATAATATTTGAGATATAATGGAACATTTTATGAGATAATATAAGGTGTTGAAACCCTTGATTTCATTGACAAGTTAATGGTCATATTAAGGCATTTCATTGACTTGTATCTCCATATTCAATCATCAGATAGAAATGTGCCTCAGGTTAGCATTATGAACTAAAGGTCTTTGGTGATAATGTATATACATGTGTACCGGTACACAGTATGATATCACTGTATATAACACTTTGAAATTTACATTTTCAGAAGCTTATTTTTGTTATATTTTATTTTTTTTCACACAAAAGTTTTTTTTACTTTACCATTATTAGCAACTTGACAGTGTGTATGCAGATGTAAAGGCCATGAATGACTGTTGTGAAGATATGACATCACGATTGAAGGTAAAAAAAAAAAAAATATGCATACATCTGTCTGCCTCACGAAGTTCTGTTGCTGTAGAAATTGGATCTACATACAGTCCAAAAATATAAAGTAAAACCTGTCTAATTTAGATTTGGTGTATTCCAAAACATTGCCTATCACAGTGAAAAGTTTTAGTCTCTTGCAGTAAATCATGTTGTTTAAAATATTGCATATTCTGGAATGTTGTCTAATGCAGCATATAATATTGGGATTACATGAATTGCCAAGATAGACAAGTTTTACATTATATTTACATATATGCTTCAGATTTTGAATAACAATTGTTCATTTACCATGGCACTTTAAAAAAATAATTTAAAAATTGTGAAAATTGGCTTTCTAACATAATTTGTCCTGTTTTTGCTGCTTTCGTGTAATTTCAGCCAGAAATTACAATAGAACAATATACTTTTTATATGCCAGTCTAATGTTTTAAAGTATACATGTACATACATGTATATATACACAAATTCACCTATATAATTCTAATAGGCAGCAAAAGAACAGACCCAGGATTTAATATCTCAGACTACGAAACTCCATGCTGAAAGGTTGGTTCATTATTAATATATTACTTTTTTTGTTCAATAAAAAAATATTTATTTTACAAACATAATAAGCCAGAAACTGCTTCATGGAGAAGAAATACAGAGAATAAAAAATATATATTTTATTATGTTTAAGATACTGTGTATAAAAAAATGTAGTTAGAAATTCAGTTTTTGATTTGTATGATCATACCTATGTGTTAGTCAAAAGGTACAAATGAAGTCACAAGTGGCTGATGTTTTTCTGGATAAATTTCAACTGAAATCAGAGGAAGTTAAGGCCCTTAGAGGAAGTCGAGATGGATCACTAAGTCAGGTAAAAGTTCAAGTCAGTCAGGTCAGGGGTCAAATATCAGCTAATAAATTGATTGATCACATGTCAGTACATGTTGTACAAATAATTGTTGTACTAAATAAATTAAAAAAAAAATTGTTTTGGTATAGAAATGAATTAAAAAGAATTTTTTATTCACATGCATACATGTACATGTAGATAACACATATTTATAAATTTAATATTGCCTGTTCCAAAAACAATGCAGACTTCTAAGAACAATAATCTGCAACATGCATATATTTATAATCACACAATTCTTAATTTGCCAATTGCAGAATTTGGTAGCAGTTCTAAATGTATTAAATCATCTACAGCCTGAAGTATTGTATTTTTTGATATTCATAAATGCCTTTTAATTTTTTTTAAAATCACTTTGAGTATACAAGTAATGTTATACCATTATGAAAATTAGCTTTTATTATTGTATATTAATTATCTATTAACATTTTAATTTACTTGTTAAGTATAAAAAACTAAAACTTTCAAAATCAAAATTGTGCATGTTTCTCCTTTTTTTATTTTTTGTTTTTCTTAAATGGTGTAGATACAGGGGTATTATATATGCTTAGCTATGCAACTAATTACTCAAACATTATTTCAGGGATCCCTCATGTACCAATCTTTTTACTTGTGTTTTATCAGCATTTAAGAATGTGTTGGCATTGAAGAAAATTTTTGCTTAATTTAATTAGTGTAATTAACAACATACATAAAACATTTGTGTGTGACAGTACATGTAATTTGCACTGATAAAAATCATAGAATTTTTTTTTCTAATTTTAATTAGGAGTTTTTTACCAGCTTAAACAAAGTCAAGCAGATTCATAATGACTGTAAGATCTTGCTGAGGACCAATCAACAAACTGCTGGGTGTGTACAGAGATTTAATGTAATATATACTAGTATGTATTCATGTGTATACATTTGAACCTCTTTATCTTGAACTCAATGGGACCAAGAAAAAACTTACAGATATACAAGAATTCAAGATATTAAGGTTAAAATACATAGAAAAAAAGAAGTTTGGACTTCCATCTCACGTTGACACACCCATCGTATTTGAGATATCGGTGTTCGAGATACCAAAGTTCAACTGTATATCTATAATATTATAATATACATGTACCTACTAATAAACACATAAGTTCTGCACCATGCGATACAGTTTCATCATAATTAACACCCAATATGAGTGATGATTTAATTGTTATTTATCCATGTACACTTTATGTTATTTACATGTGTTTGAAATGTACCATGTTTTGATTGGGCCTCTTTGAGAGATATTGGTCCTGTTTGTACAACTCTAATCAAATCTAAAGTACATCTCTACTCATTGCAAGTCTTCTGTCTTTTACACTTATATTATATTTGTTAGGTTAGAGATTATGGAAGCTATGGCCCTTCATCAAGAGTCATCATATGAGAGATTATACAGATGGACCCAGAGTAAGCCTACCTTATACTTGTTTGTAGAGAAAAGTTGTGTACTCCATTTTTGATGCATATTAACCAAATTTCATACAATGATACATATTGGTGAGATGTATTCAACTGTAGCAGAATTTTTTACCTTGACCTTCCCTGTGATCTTGACCTCATTAGTCTTATTTTGTGTTTACCTACTGTATGTCTGATTGGACATATTTATAATTTATCATTGAATGCCATCAAATTTTTTGTGTAGACAAGTCAAGGAAATATTATTTTACAGTTTATATGTATTCTGCAATATCAGAAATTGCTAGTTGTAATCTATAATATTATTTTAAAAAAATTATTTTCACAATTTTCATTGGCTGAAAGGACACTTGATATTCATCCTTTTCTGATATTGATACAAAGGCACGTCCATGGAATATATTAGTGCAAAACTCACCATTTTTAGCAAAAATGGCCGCACCAAAGTTGCATAGAAAATGACCTCACAATTTTTACAATTGTGACATTATGACAGTCTGTTTTGATAGGACGGTGACAGATTATTCACTCTGAGTGATTATATAATATAACTATTATGGACTTCAGGGAACTGTCAATATATGGTTATGAGGATCCATGTCAAGTGATATTGACCTCAGGCGAAAAAATGATAGCAACCTCGCAAGCTTGGTCAATATAATCACTTCCTGTGTTTTGGTCAATATCACTTGACATGGGTCCTTATAGCCACATATTGACCTACGCTGAAGTCCATAATTGTATAGTACTTATTTTTAGATGAGTGTAGAACCTTGACGGGGGACTCCCCTGATGTGTCCCCCATGCTTTGTCAGAGTATGGAGGCCCTTCAGGATAGACCAGTCTTATTTAGGTAAGTAAAGAAAATTGTAAATTAAAACCATATTTTCTTTATGCATTGTTTTGAGAATAGATATTAACATAATGAATGAGAAAAGATACTGTCCATTAAATGAGAAGTGACTGACAAATCAACATTATGTAACAGCGTATTCTTCAAAAATAAATGTACCTCTCTCCAGAAAACCTATGCATGTAAGTGAGATCCAATAGAAAAATTATCTGGACTTAAATTTTCAATATGCGAAGCAAGTATATGTAACAGTGTTACATGTATGTTGTAGGTATTCATTAGATGAATATGGAACAGCAAGACGTACGGCTGTAGTACGCGGACTTATTGATGCCCTCACAAGGGGAGGTAAGTAATAAGAACAAAAGTATAGTCCCTTGCTCTCTCTCCTTCTCTCTCACATACAGTATAAATATATACATATTTGAATTCTTAACTTATATGATGACATAGAGTTCATTTACAGTTTAACTTCAGTGTCTCAAACATTTATACCCTAAATACCATAGATGTATCAAAATGAGTTGGAAGTCCAAACCATATGTATTTTAACCTCAATATCTGGAATCCTTGGATATCTTCAAATTTTTTCTTGTCCCATTGGGTTCAGTATAATTAAGTTTCACTGTATGTTCACTATGTTGATTTGCAAGAAACTATGAGAATCAGAATTTGGAAAGAACAATATCTTTAATTTATACTCTTAAGATATGGGCACATGAACAATTTATTTTAATGAAAGAATCACTGGAACAGTTTTTGATATATTTTTTTCGTAGGGCCTGGAGGAACACCAAGACCAATTGAGTTACATTCCCATGATCCTTTGCGGTATGTTGGAGACATGTTGGCATGGTTACACCAGGCAGCTGCCTCGGAGAAGGAGTATGTACACACACTGCTGAAAAAATGTGAAGGTAAAAATATAAGTCTTTGGAAAAACATTTATAGTAAGTACATGCATCTACCATAGTCATGTACTCATTAAATGTTCTTATACATGTATGTTAAAATATGTTTATGCTTTTTATGCCCTCCTTTGAAGAAGGGAGGGCGTATTACTTTGCTGCTGTCTGTCGGTCGGTCTATCCGTCGGTCCACCAACAGTTTCTGTTCATTTTCTTCACAGAGGTTGCACATACTGAGATGAAATTTGGTATACAGATTTATCATAAGAATATCTAGGTCAGGATCTGTTTTGGGTACGATCGAGCAATTTTTTACAGAGTTATATGTATGCCCCTTGGACTTTGAAATATTCCATTATGGGGGGGGGGGGCATAAGTGTTTCATAAACATCTCTTGTTATCAAAGTTTTTTTTATGAATTACATTACAAACATGTATTTAAGCATTTTTTGCAATTACTGTTCTTCAAAGAAGTGTACATACAGTTGAATAAGTAAAATATGATAGTATGATTTAAAACATAATAAAGTGATAAAAAAACAACAAAAACTCTATGCTATTTCATTATGGATTGTTCAAACTCATTGAAATGTTTATTTTACATAATTATCTTTCTATGTGTTAAATAATGGATTGTGGAGTTCAGATGCTAACAATAATAAATTCTTTGCTTCAGAAACATATGATTCATTGTATTTTAATCATTAATTACAGTTACTTCAGAAATGATTCAAGACATTCTTGGACACATCTCAGAGGGTGTCTGTAGGCCATTTAAGGTAACTCATATACATTTTCCAAAGATATTGGAAGAATAGGATTTTGAAAAAAAAACAAAACAAAACATAATACATCAAGAAAGTAAGACACAATGACTTTTTCTTCCATGTTAGATTTTTTTAAGCAGCTATTGAATATTGTAAATGTACTTTTTTTCCATGAGGTCAAAATTCTGTGGAATCACAATATTTGTTCAATCCACAGGTAAAAATTTTTGCAGTTTTCTTAGATAGCCACTATATGAATTAAATGCACTTTAAATATGCTGAGAGAAATTTCTGTGGAAGATTTGTGACCATTTAATTAGAGTAAATTAATAACCATGAGGAAAAAAGTACTTTTACAGTATAAACACAACACAGGTAGAAACCCTTTCTTGATAGTTTTAGATTGAAAAAAAGATTAAATGTCATTCACATACATTGTTCTTTGCTTTTATGTTTTTAAATTATGTGTAAATTAAAATGCTTTGTAAAAGCTTTGAACTGATTGAATTATTATGCATTCATAATGTAGTCATGAATTTTAAAAAAAAAAGCCCGCATTTAGAAAAAAAAAAATCTTGATTAAAAATATTCATCCATTGTGTGAATTTATATAACCATGGCAAAAAAGCAAAAGAAAAAAAGGTTATGATTCATTTGTTTGCAAGGGGCAAGGCCCACTAAGAACTTGTATATACTGTACACAGGGAGATTTTTACCCTCATTTTATTTTCACCCAATGGGCATATAAAGTCCTTGTTGCAAGAGTACAAATTTAAAATGGGGCAAATTCAAAAAGGTAGAATTATCTCTAAAATACAGCTGTGTCTAGGCAAATTTAAGGGGCAAAATTGTTTGCAAGTGCGAAAGGGCAAAACATAAGGTGAAGATAACCCTGTATACAGAAGAGAATGCCCTATTTTTAGGTGAGGGTGGAACAAGTCCTGGTGTCCGAGCAGGATGCTGTCACACTGTACAAACTCAATAACCTTCTCAAGTTCTACCACAACACTATAGGGTAAGTCATTTTACCACAACACTATAGAGTAAGTCGTTCTACCACAACACTATAGGGTAAGTAGTTCTACCACAACACTATAGGGTAAGTAGTTCTATTACAACACTATAGGGTAAGTAGTTCTATTACAACACTATAGGGTAAGTAGTTCTACCACAACACTATAGGGTAAGTAGGTCTACCACAACACTATAGGGTAAGTAGTTCTATTACAACACTATAGGGTAAGTAGTTCTATTACAACACTATAGGGTAAGTAGTTCTACCACAACACTGTAGGGTAAGTCATTTTACCACAACACTATAGAGTAAGTCGTTCTACCACAACACTATAGGGTAAGTAGTTCTACCACAACACTATAGGGTAAGTAGTTCTATTACAACACTATAGGGTAATTAGTTCTACCACAACACTATAGGGTAAATAGTTCTACCACAACACTATAGGGTAAGTAGGTCTACCACAACACTATAGGGTAAGTAAATCTACCACAACACTATAGGGTAAGTAATTCTACCACAGCACTATATAGTAAGTAGTTCTACCACAACACTATAGAGTAAGTCGTTCTACCACAACACTATAGGGTAAGTAGTTGTACCACAACACTATATAGTAAGTAGTTCTACCACAACACTATAGAGTAAGTCGTTCTACCACAACACTATAGGGTAATTAGTTCTACCACAACACTATAGGGTAAGTAGTTCTATTACAACACTATAGGGTAAGTAGTTCTACCACAACACTATAGGGTAAGTAGGTCTACCACAACACTATAGGGTAAGTAGTTCTACCACAACACTATATAGTAATTAGTTCTACCACAACACTATAGGGTAAGTAGTTGTACCACAACACTATATAGTAAGTAGTTCTATTATAACACTATAGGGTAAGTAGTTCTACCTCAACACTATATAGTAAGTAGTTGTACCACAACACTATAGGGTAATTAGTTCTACCACAACACTGTAGGGTAAGTAGTTCTATTACAACACTTTAGGGTAAGTTTTGTTTGTTTGTTTGTATGTTGTTTAACGTCCCTCTAGTTATATCACAATGCTATAGAATAAGTAGTTATACTACAACACCATAGGGTAAGTAGTTGTACCACAACAGTATAGGGTAAGTAGTTCTACCACAACACTGTAGGGTAAGTAGTTCTACCACAACACTGTAGGGTAAGTAGTTCTACCACAACACTAAGGGTAAGTAGTTCTTTTACAACACTATAGGGTAAGTAATTCTACCCCAACACTATAGGGTAAGTAGCTGTACCACAACATTATAGGGTAAGTAGTTCTACCACAACACTATAGGGTAAGTAGTTGTACCACAACACTATAGGGTAAGTAGTTCTATCACAACACTGTAGGGTAAGTAGTTCTACCACAACACTGTAGGGTAAGTAGTTCTACAACAACACTGTAGGGTAAGTAGTTCTACCACAACACTGTAGGGTAAGTAGTTCTACCACAACACTGTAGGGTAAGTAGTTCTATTACAACACTTTAGGGTAAGTAGTTATATCACAATGCTATAGAATAAGTAGTTCTACTACAACACCATAGGGTAAGTAGTTGTACCACAACACTATAGGGTAAGTAGTTCTACCACAACACTGTAGGGTAAGTAGTTCTATTACAACACTATAGGGTAAGTAGTTCTATTACAACACTATAGGGTAAGTAGTTCTACCACAACACTGTAGGGTAAGTCATTTTACCACAACACTATAGAGTAAGTCGTTCTACCACAACACTATAGGGTAAGTAGTTCTACCACAACACTATAGGGTAAGTATTTCTATTACAACACTATAGGGTAATTAGTTCTACCACAACACTATAGGGTAAGTAGTTCTACCACAACACTATAGGGTAAGTAGGTCTACCACAACACTATAGGGTAAGTAGTTCTATCACAACACTGTAGGGTAAGTAGTTCTACCACAACACTGTAGGGTAAGTAGTTTACAACAACACTGTAGGGTAAGTAGTTCTACCACAACACTGTAGGGTAAGTAGTTCTATTACAACACTTTAGGGTAAGTAGTTATATCACAATGCTATAGAATAAGTAGTTCTACTACAACACCATAGGGTAAGTAGTTGTACCACAACACTATAGGGTAAGTAGTTGTACCACAACACTATAGGGTAAGTTGGAGGTAGACTTAATCCAATCTGTTTTTCAACCAATAATCTACAGTATGTTTTTGGACTTTAAATTATTTAACAATACATTTAATAGAATTATATCACCTTTTTTTCATGCAAAAAGTTAATTAAAATGATAAAGTTTGATCTAGGTATCAGCATTAAAGGGTTGCAGATTTTCTTTGGAAGACTTTTATATCAATTAACCCAAATAACATGTATATCTTATACTGGAACTGCCTTGAAATTCATTAAAATATGATAGAAAAAATGTGAAAATAGTTTGAAAATATTACTGGGAGTTATTATCTATTGATTCCACTTAATTTCTAAAGCAACAAAATGCATCCCTAATCTTCTGCTGCTATAGAATATGCCTTGATATATATACAATAAACCTACACTGCATAAATATATCAGATTCCATGTCATCTTTTATTCAAGAACTGTCAATGAAATGCTGTGTGTGCCTATAGGGATATCCTACAATTGTATTTCTGATACAAAAATGCATTTGAAAGACCATCCACCCCCATCCCCCCAAAAAAACAAACAAAAACAAAAAAACAAAAACACAAAACAATTAAAAAAAAAAACCCTGTCCATTTCAGGAATCAATGTGATACACTGTGAGACTTATATGGAGACCTTGCAGTGATATACTGTGAATAAAAATAGATTCTAAAAATAGAGTAAGGAAATCACTAGCTTTTTCTTATCTTGTAAAATAAACTAGACAGGAATGCATACTATCAATTTTGTGAACGTACAAATTATGTGATTTCTGTCACAGTGCAAAAATGATCATTCAGTGCGTAGATAATTGAAAGTGAGCTTTCTTTTATGAATTATATTCAGCTGTTAGTGACTATTTTGCAACAAGAAATTTTTATGACTGGGATTAACCCACAAGTCTTGTAAATATTTTTTGCAGTTAACTGTTTTTGTGTGTACATGCAAGTTTTTTTTAACAGGTTTGTAAAATTTGTTATTAATTTTAAATAGAATTTCAATTCAGTTTCATTATATAAAAGTATTTCAAAATATTTTTTTTTCAATTATGATCAACTTGTAGAGGCAATAGGTAAGTAAAGTTGGGAACATGCATTATAAGTTTTTCTTCATTTATTTATCTTTTTTTTTTTCATCTCAAACTGGTATTCACTGTTTGTTTTTTTTTTCTTTTTTATTTATTTAATTTTAACCTTTCGATATGGATAATATTTGGAGTTTAAAGTTATTTAAAAGTTACTGAAACTTAGCAGTTATATATGAATTTATTTTTGTATCTGTTTAATACTTTCCTGTAAAATGCTTAGAGACACTGATACATTTTACAAACATATGAAAATATAGAATTTATTATCAAATGTTTATATTATATTTTAAATCAAATAGAGGCTTAAATTTCATTTTATAGTCATGTAACATTGTTCTATCATACTCATCTTCCTGGTATATTTTAAGCCATGTACATTGCTTAATTAATTTTCATCATTTTTTTATAATTGGAATTGCTTAAACTTATAAGCTTTTGAATATACTTGTACTAAATATCTTTTCAAAAATGCCTTTCAACGTAAACTTGTAAACATTTACTTTCATTTATTTACAATTGGGAATAATTTAATTCTGGTTGTAACGTGCCATTTGATTAGATAAAAAATAATATTGTATAAACTGTGTTGCCTATGTCACAATGACTTGCGTCAAAAACATCTCTATCCTCCTGATGTTACATTTAAATTTTGTACAATTTCAACCCCTTTTTAAGGGCAATCATCTTATTTACTTATTCTAAATGAATGAAAATTAAATTATAAATAAGGAATGAATTTAATACCTACCTAGTTTATACAGTACAAACTGGGTTGGGGCAGTTCACACTTTATAAATCACAAAACTTAAGTTTGACAAATAGCTGCTGAAAAGCTGTGTAATTTTGTTAGGAAAATATCTTTATATATACATGTATCCACAAAATAAATAAATAATAAATTAAAAGTGCTTTTATAAAGTTTTGAAAATAACTTTTTACGAGCAGTTGATGTAATGAATTCTTAAATGATAAGTTTTTAAACTTATATACAGTACATTGTAATCATAGCATTGCATAGAAAAAAACATTTTATAATTTCAATGTTTAAAACAGACAGATACTGTGTAAAGACGCCGCCTTGCTGACCACCATTACTGAAATCCAAGACCTCAGCCATAGGATGTTCTTCAACAGTCTGAGCTGTCATGCAAACAAACTGTTGGATAAAGTATGCTTTATCATATCTTTATTTCTTGTATCTTATATGCATGAGAAAAAGGATCTTGCAGATTTTTAAAAGATGATAAGAGTCGGTTTTATCTTATTTTATAATTACAGTAAAACTTGTCTAATCCAGACACCACTGGTTCCAAAGAAATTTGCCAGTTCTCATTATTTACTAATTCATCTTCTTATAACTGTTCAAAGTATAAGGTCAAATGATAAATGATGCATTTAATGATTAAGAGAATATGTTCAAGTACCAGAGTCATCCAGAACCTGTTGGGCCTTTCAGAGAAAAACATGTCTAAAAAGCCAGAGGTGTTCTGGATGGTACCACAATGTGATTTTGTAGGTGGAGCTGCCCCCTGCTGACCTATCTACCCCTGCAGCTCTGAGTCAGACGATGCAGCTGTTGAAGGATGTTCTGGCCTGCCATGATGCTTCTGTTGTAGCAATTGATGATAAGAAACAGGATTTCAAACAGGTTAGAATTACGATCAGTAAAGAAAGCATGGAATGTAAACTTAATGGTAGAATCTGGGATTAACATTGCAGGAACTATAATATTTTTTTTTAATAATTCATTATCAATGTTCCTGGCACCAATAATTTAGTAAACATTGCTCATCATATATTCAATCCCTCTATTTATCCTACATGTAGTCACTGGGGTAAAGTTTTATAGTAATTAAAAAAAACTGCAGGGAAGTAGGAACTTCAAGATAATTTATAGTAGAGGAGGATTTCCCAAATTATTCATGATAAATGTACTTGTTGTTACTTTTTTGCAGATTTTATCCTGCATTGTGGACCCCCTTGTTCAGATGTGTTCTGTTTCTGCGAGCAGACTAAACACAATTGACATGGCCTGCTACATGGTGAACTGTATATATGTAATGCAAACTACCCTGTCATTGTATGAATTTACAGACACAAGACTGGAAATGCTACAGGCTCAAGTAAAATTAAACACATATTTGTTCAGATTTTTTAATCTATGTATAGAGCATTCTGTTTGATACACACTTGCACATGTATCAGGAAAATTCTTCCCCAAAAGAGTAGAAAGCACTTTATAAAAGATCTGGTACATCTGAAAACTTACGTTTTCTACCCAGAACATAACTTTCTAACCAATCCAAATACACAAAGCCTCTACATCAGTTGGCAAGGATATTTGAGAGGGGTCTTTTAATGAAAAAGTAGGTTTGTTAAATATAGTGGAAGTATTATTACATGTGTGTGTATAATTTTTAGGTTGATGCACAATTAGACACCCTGGTTAATGAGCAGGCAGCCATTGTCTTGAATCGTGTGGGACTAGCAGAAGCCTACAGGACTGTACAGGCATACCAACCCAAGCAGGTGACTATGATATTTCTATGCAATCTTGCATTGTTAAGCTTAAAAATTGGGAATTTCTGTTTATGGTATCTGTCACAGAGGTTTCATTTCACTTCAATATGATGACTGTATCGGGCAGTTGTAAGAACATTTTGATCCACCTGAGAACAAGACATTTGATTGATTTTCTTTTTTGTTTCTAAGATTTAAAAACCTGTACATTATGAAAAAAAACATACCAAATTTAAAAGATTTACTCTGCAGTGTTCTTCTAATGTCAACCATTTCATGTTCACATTTTCAATGAGGTTAACTAAATACTAGTAAATGTTCAAGATTTACTGACTGTACATGTATATGTGATGGTGCAATTTTCAACATTTTACAATGTAATAATGATAATTCCTCCGTGAAAATCACCATTCCATTCATTAATAGGAAAAAATCTTCCTTTTGAAAGAGAAAACTTCTGTTAGAAGCAGCAGTAATGTTATTTTTCAGGGTCCTCTCTCTTCCCTCCAAGGCATGGATGCTGGAACATTAAAAGCAGCAATGGTATGAAGCAGAACTCATTCAATTATATACATTTTAACTTGAGTGTGACTTTTGTTAACTACATTTGATAAGTATATAAATGTTGTAGTTATCTTGAGATTGAATTTTTGATGTAAAACTATATAATTTATTATAAAATCCATGAGGGAAGAGAACCGAATGCAATTGTATATTATACATTTGTTCTGTGTTCAATGTAGATGCAGTTTGACAGCTTTTTGGCCAATCCTGATGCATTAGTCCTGCCACAGTGCAGTCTAATACTTAGTGCACGGATACGGTAAGACACTTTGTTAGATAATGGAGTCCTGTTGGTCCACAATGCATTAGTCTATAAAACACAAATGCAAAACCTAACAAAATTCTTCCTGTGGAAAACTCTTGTGTTTATAGTATGAATGTGAAACAGATGTAAGGATTGCTTGGAGACATAAACTGGTGCCTATAGAAAAAACGAAATCTTTTAATAAAATTATTAGAGTTTTTATAGAAGGATGTTTTATTCAAGCATGTTTTACTTATTCATGGAAAAGGTGTGATTTGAGGACTTTAGAGGTCTTTGATAATAAGTGTTCATAAAATCACTGTTCTCTAACCCAAGCTTGTGCAATGCATACAGGTCCAATAAATTGCTTTGCTTAAAACTTGAAATATTCCAATTTTTTTTAAATGAACACTCTACATAATTGTAAGGACAAAAATGAAAGCCAGAAATGGCCTGCAGAAACTGTTTTGAAAATAAGAAACCAAACACTATAAATGTACATGTATTTAGTGTGTATAATATTTAACAAAAATTTATTTTTCAACAAGTTTGATTTAGCACACTTCATAACAAATATATTATTTTCTATGTATACAAAACAATTAGCAATAATTCAGTGGAAGCTGCTTTCCTCAAAAAGTGCTAAATGGAATACATATCCAAATGTAATATGTTTACAGTGTGGTTTCTGTAGGTTTATTACTGTACTATGTACTGTTCCTCAAAGTGTTCTTTAATCTTGATCTGAAAATGAAAACACAATAGAATTGAAGTACATTCAAATCATTACAAATGGTTTATTATTCAATTGATTTTCTCCCTAAACTTGTAAATGCTGTTGATAATCACTTTTCTTTTGCCTTTTAGGGAATCAATAAAGAAAAGATCTATGGAATTGATTAATGAATCATATCGAATATTGTATGACCACATCAAAAATCCAGCAAATGAATATAAAGAACCACAGGGCATTGTTCCCAGAACACCAGACCAAGTTATGAAGCTTCTACATTATTAACATGACTTATGATTATTTATTATGCCATATAAGTATATTATTTTCATGTTGAACATGTTTCTTTTATTTACAATAAAATATACTAAAAAATGTCAGTCTCTTTCACTGATATGGAAGCAAAGTTTTGTTTCTGAAAAAGCACACCAAATTCACAAAATGATCTATGAAGCGTAGTTTTATGCTTAACGAGGCATAAACTGTAGTTAATGATTTGTTAACAAGTTTCCATTTATTCAACTAATGATTGTAATCTAAAGTTTACCAAATGTTAAAGCAAGTTAATCTGCCAGTGAATAGATTTAAATAAAAGGTTTTGTTGATGAATATAAATTCTCACTTGCAAACAAAAATTAACATTTGTGAACCAGGGTTGAGTTGTTAATCATAGTTTCACAAATGAAACTACATGTATATCAGATCAACTACTACATGTAGTATGCTAAACGTGTGTAAATTATAGGTTTGTTAATTTAGTTAAGAGAAATTTATACTCAATAAACTATATTAAACAGACACAAACTTTAATTTATAATCTGTAGCTTTGAGAGAAACTAAACTGTATTAAAATTTGTCATTAATTTTTATTTTCATAAACTATATTTCACACTCCTAAACTGCTGGTAAGGTTAGAGATGTTAGATATAGTTTATGAATTTTAAAAATCTGTTGATGATGATTTTGAATTTAAAATATCGAGGAACCGATCGATTTACAAACAAAACTATTGTTAACTATTGCTTTAAACATAGAGTTATAAAACAAAGTTTCACAGAAAAATGCAATTTCGATACAAAATGGGAGATTTTGTTTTGAAACTATGATTCTCAAATGTAAAACAATATTCATTTTGTGAATTCAGCATCTAACATAGCTGTAAGCTAAAATTTTAAAGCCATGAAGTTCTAGGGATGGCAATTTCTAACCGGTTAACCGATTACTTGGTCGGAACGATGGTAATCGGTTAGAAAATCTGTAATCGGTTAGTTGGAAAAAATAAAATATACCCCAGTATTTCAATTTAAAATTTTTACAATTCATTTCTAAAAAGAAAACTCTGCATAAAAGTTAATAATTTAGCCTCTTCACATATCTATTTAAATCTATTTAAGCTGATTTGGAGGTAATTATGGCTTTTCAGATCGAGATCGCGGGATAATTGTCTTAATTACTGTTTTAAAAAACACAGTGTCGTTACCCCACTGTCCTGTAATTCTTTAATGATATTTAATGAATCATCGTTGAGCACTGTGTATTGGCATATCTATTACATTATTTTATTAGACAAACAGTAGATTACATTAAAGTTCAGACATACTGCAGTTTTCATTATGGTGACAATTCAGAACTAATAGGGCTTCTGGTGTGACATCTGCACTGAAAAATTATTAATGTTTAATTTCTCAGGGATGTTTCATGGTTTTCTTAACATTTTTCTTAACTTTTCTTAACTTCTTGTCTAGTGAAATTGAAATAAAATAAATGTACATAAAGTTTCCTTATCAAGATAAACAAAATGTTCCTAGCTTCTAACGTCTTTTTTAGTCTTCTAATTTATAAGAATACAGCTACTTGAAAAAGAAAAATATGTCAAGAAAATATGTACATGTACCTTGATACGATTAACCAGTTAATCGGTCGGAACGTCTTGCGGTTAACTGATTAGCAATTTTGTATTCGATTGCCATCCCTACGGCATAAACTATAGTTAAAATTTATTTACTATAGTTAGAATTGCTAACAAGAGTTTACTAATCGACGAATGTATTGATCATATGAACCGTGTGTTGAGTTTGCGATATATTGTTTTCACCGTTATATTGTTTACACTTGTAATACATGTATAGATTGAGGCGCAACCTATGGTTAAGCCGTTACATAAAGAATAACTTCACTAACTATAGTTAACACTTCTTAAGCTATATAGTTTACAATTGATAAACCTTGTTTATCAACTGTTAAACTATGTTTTGCTTATTTTTGTGAATTTAGCGTGCCATAATAAAGTCTGACTTTATAACTACACGTTTACAAATGAATACATGGAATATGAAGAATTGAAAATTCAGTTGAATTGGATGTTTCAGATTTATCTCTTTTAACATATCAGGAATGTTTATGCATATTTACAATGTGGATGTTTAACCTGCTGCCATCTAATGTATTGCAGAATGAAAGGGCGACAAGTCGGTATAAAGTTGGTGACCACAAGGGCGTTACAAAACTTTAATTTAGTGAGCTGCTGCTCATCACAATCCAATGACAAGCAAAGTCCAGAACTGCATTTCTTCCCTTTCCTAAAAATTACCAGTTGCTCTCACGATACATTTAGTATTGTGTACATTCTACAAAGTTATTGATAACATTCATTACAATATGGTATGACGACACAATCATACTGGCATCAGCATACTCACCTCACCTCACCTATCCTCTCCGTGCCCAATGACACATAATGTCCCAATACACTGAGTCAACTTGCCTCTGTCTCTGGCTGCTGCCCTTGCTGAGTCCAGCTGTGACCATTCGTGCAAAGTTTTTGGCCAGCTCACTTTCCGCCTTCCTTTTTGATGCCATGTTGACGTTATTGCGATGGTGCATATGTGTATATATATATATATACCCTGATGTTTTCCATAGTACAGGTTAAGATAACACGCAACGATCAATCTCGTAGAACTAGTAAAGAAAACGAATCATGAACAGGGCAAAAACACGGACCCCTGGAAACACCAGAGGTGGGATCAGTTGTCCAGGAGGACTAAACATCACCTGTCGAACGGTCACACCCGTTGTGAGCCCCATGTATTGATTAGGTAGGCGGAATGCTCAGTGAAATAAGTATAAATGCATGCAATTTGACCTTTAACAAATAGTATGAAACATGTCAGACAAGGGTGAATTAAAAAAAAAATGACCACCAAACTGAATTTTTTTTGGCAAAATTCAACTACTTATGTCATATTTTTCACTTATATCATCATATTGCAAATGCATTCTAGTTTAAAATCCTGAAGTGGCAATAGAATAGACAATTGGATTATAAAGTTTCAGAATTTTTATTAGTAAAATTTCTTTTGAAAAAAGAAAATATCATTACACCTTAAAAGACTTTTTAAAATACATAATCACAAGAAATTATAGTTTTTTATGCTTCAAAATGGTAAAAGGGGTATAAATGATTAAATCTAGACCTTGAATGAGTATCTTCTCTTGTACATGTGACAAAAAATTGGCTTTTTGATTGTTATTTTACATTATTTTTTCAATTCTGGTTTGAAAAGTTTTAATATGAAAAAAATATGTAGCAATAAAATTCCCCAAAATTCACTTTTTTTGTCCGTTCAAGTCAATTCTTTAAATCTAAGCCAAAAAAGAATTGTTATATACGAGTTCTCTTACAAAAAATACTAGATTTTGAAGTGACCCTATGTTACATTATTGTGTTGCACTCCTGACATTTGATATGTATTTTATTTAACATTGTTTAAAAAATTATAACACACAATAACCCATTCTTACTTTGTAAATCAATTTGTTGTGTTGATATTTTTCATTGTTTACAGCAGGTTTTTCATATTTTGAAGACCTTAAAACATGATTATTTGCAAAGTGTAATATATATAAATTGTATATAAAATATATGTGAAATGATGAAAACTATTCCCTGAATTGACTGTAAAATTTCTGTAATTTGTTGATAGACATGGTGTTTTGAACATCAAATAGTATCAAGCATTTTTTTTTTCAACTTATTTTTTAGTAAAGATAGTTAAAAAGCATCGGTAATTATGAAGCAGTTTTGTTGCACTCCTGACTGCAGTACAGTTTAAAATTAAAACCATAGAACACAAAAATTCATAAAGTGTTGGCAACATCAAGTGGTAATGAAAATGTGCAATACTTATAGTCCAATACTTCATAATTAAAACAGATGAAAGTATTTAAAATTTGCATTTTATCTGGAATTATACCCTATTTTATGCCGAAAAACTAGCTTAAATGTATATTTAGAAGATAAAATATATTTTAAAGCATATTTTCCTTTAGAAGACAAACACAGTAACCCACCAGAAAAATTCTACTCATCATTTTTTTCTTTATTTTTATTCTTTTTGGATGATTTATAATTCTAACATATTTGTTGCACTCCTGACCAAAAGCATTGCGGCCTTTAAAGTAGAATTGTGAAGTGAACATTACATAAGAACTTGTTCTGTTGTTTCAGTGAAGTTGAGGAGGAATTACTTGAATTTTATGGCAATGTTTTAGTGTGTTTATTTTTAACGTTCATTAAAAAAATCACAAAAAAGATAAAAACACATCTGAATTGATAAAATTGAAAAAGGAAGGATTTTGATAATAAAACTGTCAATAATTTAGCATTTAATTATACAAAAAGATCATTACTAATTAATGAATACTTCTAAGCATGAATAGAAGTCTTTTCGTCACACAACTTGAATCTTTAAAAAAAATGTGTTGCACTCCTGACCATAGAAATATGGATCTGAAGCACAGACAGAGCCTGTAACTGATAAATCTATTTGGTAAAAATGTTCTTTGTCTCTTTATTTTCCAAAATAAAAATCAGAAAATCATATAATGATAATAGTTTTTTCATGCTTGGGAGGAAAAAATCAAATGTTGCACTCCTGACATTTTTGGGTATGCACATATACTTGACTCTCATTAATGCTACTTGTGATTTATATAACATTTTTAAGTTTTAAAATGTATATCAGTTATTATTTTACACTTCCAAAATTCTTTTTTGTCTTAATTTTCTATCAGAATTTTACAATTGATGTTTTTTGGCAACACTACATTTTTTCTGTTGCACTCCTGACATGGTATAACATTTTTTTAAACATCAGCCATGACCACAGTCAACCTGATTAAACAAAAGTTTCAACAGTCCACCTTTAAAGCTCAATACTTTGAATATTATCAGGAAAGTCTTTATTTTCAACATGAAGCATTATTTTTTATTTCACAGATCTCCAAAAAATATTGAAATTTCAAAATGTCACAAAAAGGTGTTGCACTCCTGACAATTTTAGCATCATTTTTGGGCATAACTTTTTTGTTAATTGAGATATCAACGAGATATTTGGCAGGTAATTAGACACTATCTAGAGACATATGTTGAGACATGGAAATCTATTTTCTTTGCCTGTATTTTTAGTGGGCGTTGATAAATATGCATTTGGTCATTTTTTTTGAATTCACCCACAAAAAACAGCCAAACGATAAGTTGTATTTACAAATAAGGTCCTTATAACGACTGTAGAATTTGCGAAAATCTGACTTTAAACGAGGTTGTTAATATCCTTGTAACATACACTAATTTGTAACTAGCCTGCCTCGGTTTAAATATTGATCGTATTCAGAGCATGCTCTTTAGTATCGAATTAGTTTGGAGACATAAACACTATATGTAGGTGAAGTTGGAATATTTTTTACATAAATAAGGTGACGACGATGGCAAAGCTAAGTCATTCCGTTTGTCACACAGTTGAGTTATTAGCCATTATAAACTATAGTCAGCAAAACATCCTAATTTGAAACAGATGTGGCAGATTATATCGTCTCTTATTTTACGTTTTATGGATATGGTGTTGTATTTTTCAGGTTCAAGGGATATATTGAGTCGACATATGAATGAAAGTAGCTATTGTTAATTGATAAAACGTCGTCGATACATCTAAATGTTGAGTTGAAGGCCACAGCAAGTTTTCTTACTCTCATGAAGAAGTTTTTGATTAAACTCTGCTTCATAGGTATATAAAAAAAAAACAAGTCGGCTAATAAAGTAATGCCCATCGAAATTCCAACAGATTTTCGGAAACCTGGTCTTCAAAGGTTTCATAGATATTGTCAATAAGTAACTCAAGCATCATTTTAATATCAACTTCAGTACTTTTGTATAGAATCAGAATGATTTTTAACAAAGTAATTTTGTAGGTGACCAATTATAAGAGATGAAAATTTTGATGAGCTCTAAATTTTTCTGGGCCAATTCTAAATTGAACTTTTCCCAATTGATTGGCAATGTCCTCGTCGGATACTCCCTTTGATTTTATCTCTCCTCCAAGGTAAAGGGATATTTCTTCATGTTTATCCTAAGGCCAACTTGACTTGCATTTTCATGTAGTCTCTGTTTTTTGTTGGATGTTTTGAAATTTCGAGGAAAGTAGAACAAGGTCAAGTGCGAAGTCATAGATTTTCAATTTTTAGGTAGACTTGCATCTTCCTGTTGATTCTATTTCTGTAGTTCTTTTCATTATATAGTCTACTATAGTCTAAATTAGGAATACAGACATTGCGCAACCTTTCTTCCCTACTGTTGTTACCCGGGATCAGTCGGATTCTTCACCATCTTCTAGCACTGCACATTGAAATGATTAAAAGATTCACCATTCTGACCAGCTGGTCTAGGATGTCATACCGGAAATTTACAATGTTGAGTTCCATTCGATACATTGTTCTATCATGTTAGGGAGTGTAAAAAGATGTCGGGTTTTTATTTCTTCTAAAACCAGCTTGTTTTTCACTCAGTTACCTTTTCACCCCATCCTGAATCCTTTGTATCACTATTCCAGTAACTATAGAGAGCTTTTCAAAGTATTAGCTGTTGTTTCTGTCTCCATTTAATAATTCTGATGTTAAAAATCAACTCCTCCAGCTTCTCCGTTCTTTAATTTCTTTATAGCCTTGAAGATTTCTCCCTTTCTTATGGGACCAGTATCTACCTCATCTACCGAATCTCTACTCTCAACTTCGTACGGATGTTCAGGTTGTGAACGGTTCAATATTTCTTGAAAGTGCTTTTTTTTAAAAGAAAAAAACCTTTTCTTTACTTCATCTTAGCTGCTCATGATTTTGCCCTTTTTTTCATTTATTGCTGTTGTTCTTTTCTTCTCGTTATTCAACACTCTGGTTATGAGATGAACAGTTTTTATGTGGCCAATGCTGGCTGCTCTTTCTGCATCTGTAATCATGTCTTAAAATTGTCCACTTTCTCCTGTCTCATGCTGCCTTTTACCTCTGTCTTTATCGCTTTATTTTCTTTTTTAAGTTTCTTTTCAATCGTTCTAATTTACTCTTGGCAAGTTTCAGTTTCAGCCGTTTCCTTTCCTCTACCAATTTCCTTGAATCTTTTGTTCTTTTCCCTCTCTTGTATAATGTCCGCTGTCTCAGTATAACTTTTCACAGCTGTCTTTCAATTCCTTTAGTACTTGAAATCTATTTTTGAACTCCATTGTGAATGCTTTTCTCTGGCTGTTGGGAATTTGTGTCACCATTATAATAGATGTCTTTTTATATGGATTCCCCCCCCCCTTTTTTTCTGATCTTGCTCCGTATCAGTTTTTGATTACTGCTTGCATCAGCTTCTCCCATTGCGAAGTTTGATTTTTAGTGTTTCCATCAGGTGAAATCAAGGAGAATTTTTGTCTTGGTTTATGAGGAAATATTGTTTCTGTAATGACTATGAATTTTTTATCTCGCAAACATCCAATAAGTTCTCTCTATTTTGATTCATTTCGTTCTATTCCATGCGTCCCCATAGCACTTTCTTGACCTATATTGTTGCTGCTAACTTTTGCATTAAAATCTCAAATTATGAGCAAAATATGTAAATGTTAATGACTTCTTGTAATTACTCAAGAGATACCTCTTTTGTCTCTTCAGGACTTTCATTTGTAGAATATATATTTCCTATGATCAGGCGATTTTTAACATATAAAGTTTGAATTAATTATTGTCCAAGGTTCCAAATTTTTAACTTTGGTGTGATTTCACTACATAATTCATTTACTTTGACCATAATTGAGAAATGACTTTGCTGTAAGATCATACCGTTACATAGCAACAAAAGTTATACAAGTCAGGATTTCAAGCACGGGAGGGTTTGTGTCAAACAAACCGATAAACATTCATAACAGAAACAATATTCCCAGTCTGTTTTGGAGAGGGGACAAAGTTTCCAGTCTGTTGGAGAGAGGAGACAAAGTTTCCAGTCTGTTGGAGAGAGGGAACAAAGTCTTCAATCTGTTGGAGAGAGGAGACAAAGTCTCCAGTCTGTTGGAGAGACGAGACAAAGTTTTCAGTCCAATTGTAGAGAGTAAACAAAGTTTTCAGTCCAATTGTAGAGAGTAAACAAAGTTTTTAGTCCAATTGTAGAGAGTAGATAAAGTTTTCAGTCTGTTGTAGAGAGAAGTTAAAGTCTCCAGTCTGTTGTAAAGAGGAGACAAAATCTCGAGTCTGTTGTAGAGAGTAAACAAAGTCTCCAGCCTGTTATAGAGAGTAGACAAAGACTCCAGCCTGTTGTAGAGAGTAAACAGTCTTCAGTCTGTTGTAGAGAGTAAACAAAGTCTCCAGCCTGTTGTAGAGAGTAAACAAAGACTCCAGCCTGTTGTAGAGAGTAAACAAAGTCTTCAGTCTGTTGTAGAGAGTAAACAAAGTCTTCAGCCTGTTATAGAGAGTAAACAAAGTCTCCAGTCTGTTGTAGAGAGTAGACAAAGTCTCCAGTCTATTATAGAGAGTAAACAAAGTCTCCAGTGTATTGTAGAGAGTAAACAAAGTCTCCAGTCTGTTGGAGAGAGTAAACAGTTTCCAGTCTATTGTACAGAGTAGACAATGTTTCCAGTCTGTTGGAGAGAGGATACGAAGTCTCCAGCCTATTTGAGAGGGGGGTTCTCCGGTCTGTTGTAGAGAGTAGACAAAGTCTCCGGTCTGTCTGAGAGACAAAGAGATTACGTAGCCCATTACAAGCAGCATTAGCGAAAATGTCATTACATGTACATATTATTCGATTTTTTTTTCAGAATAAAGGTCCTCAATTCTGTGAAAGGTAGTAATACTGTTTAGAATGCTATAACTATGATTCATCATTCAGACAAAAAGTTCAGCTTGGTGAATGAATTCATAATAAAACAAATTCTTGAAAGACAGAATGACACTGTGCTAGAAGTTTATCATAACAAGTCTACTTTGTGTTCATAATTCAAATATTCTAAAGGTAATTGTACGAAAAATTTGGAATCACGCTTCCGGCTGGGGGTAGAGGGAGGGGGTTGATATGCCTTTTAAGTGAAAAAAAAAATGCAGAAAGGCAAAATAAGATGAATTAAAACAGCCTCATTACCCAAAAAGGCTTATTTAATCGAAAAGGGGCGATCTTAAGTCTTTCAAAAACTTGTCATTTTTTGCGACATTACGGCCTTTTGTCGAAATTGCGATTACTAGATCTTTTGAAAGTAATTAAGAAATTAAGCAAATTAAGAGATGCCTAACGTCAAGAATTCTTTACTCTTATAGCAAAAAATACATTATCGAGGTTCTCTCCTGAGCTTTTGAGCAGATTTTTATCTTAACCTATATTTCAAAAATTCTGCATAATATTTTAGTTCTTACAATAAATTTGGATTCTACAATGCTAATTAAACGATATTCAGTTAAAACTCCTTGATCAAATTCCATACCAAAAGCATAAAGTGAGGATATATATTTTGTGGCGGAACGATCATTTTTTTCTCTTTCAAAGTATTTAAAGTATGTTAAGTTTGGATTACTATTTTTCCATGCAGCCAGCACACAGAGTTATTCTGTGTCGTGAACTCTTTTATGCTGGCCCTAAATTATATATTAAATAAACTATCATGAATTCTATCATCATATTTGATAAATATAGCAAATATATTGTAAAAATCCAGAACAAAATAGTCCTAATTTAAGCTTAAAATTAGCACTAATTATTCTGCTTAAAATCAGTAAAATGTCATTACTTTCAAATGATTTTATTGCTTGTTAAATTTTTAATACCAAAAAAAAAAAAAAAATGATATTTTTTGAGTGCAAAAAGGTCAAATAATTGAACATGCGACGTAATTTAAAAATTTTTGTTGTCACAAATTTTAATGTGTCTTTTCAAGATGAAATAAGACTGTGTTTGTTCCTATAATTTAGTTGAATAAAAAATATTGCAGGAAAAACTTTATAAATTGATTTATGTGTAAGACGTATTTACAGTGCAAAAAGGTCAAACTACATGTAAATGCTCTGTAGCGCCAGAAGAAGCGCATTGACCCCCATTTTTTGTTTTAGATTTTAATTAAGCTATGTGTGTAGATTTTAAAAATATACTTGATAAAAAAATTGTCATTACTTTTGATGGCAGGATCCAACCTCCGTAAAAGGATTAATTCATCAACTTATTCGTCTCAGTTGGCTCTTTTAAATCAGGTAAGTTCAAAATTGGACAGTCATTTTGTGACATGAAAAATATGTATTTATTTAATTATTAATTATTTAGTTTCGATTTGCTTGCTTTAACTATGAGACCTGGTAATAAGAAAATTACAATTACATGTCTCTAATTCATGTTTAAAATATATTATATGCGAGTAGATAAAAACCTAAACAACAAAATGCACTTATTCGTAACACTTATCACACTGCATAAAAGAAAAGAAAAGCAGGGCATATATCAATCGTGTTGTGTTTTGCATTAAGAAAAAGAAAGTCATGACAGTTCTCTACAAAAAAAATGTCGAATTCTGATAATTTTCTGAGTGAAGGGGAACATAGTCCCATGGAAATATCTCATTTTCAGTAGGCTGACACATGTAACTGACATGTTCACATATCAATTCACGTGGCCATTTATTCAATAAATACCGAGGTTTTCCGAGTTTTGTACAGAGCCATTGTCCACTCCACTGATCAACGGTAAGAAAATTAAATTAAGTTTTATTCCGAGTAAGATAAAAGAAAAAAAGTTAAACTTATTTCTTTTTTCTTGGATTATTAATCATTGTACAATGCTGCTTTTATTGTGAACATTGCAAGTACCTAAAAAATAAAGCTTCTTAGTTCTGATAAATTACAGAAATTAAAATTTCTGAGAGCATTCTTTGTATATATAGTGTTGAAACTGAATTAACTCTGAAAACATTGCAATTGGATGCGTATAGTTATAGCTTGAATTTACCAGGCAAAACAAATATACAAAAAAAAAGTTTACTAGAGCCATATACATTTTTTTAATAAAGTGTTCTTAGAGAATAGTGGAGAACATAGCTCCTTGATCGGCAGAACAACTATACATGCTATAAGAGACCAAAAATTAAACGATTACATTTATGTGATTAAGTATGGCGTGTACAATGTTACATTTTTTAAAAAATACAAATCTTGTGATTCGTAAAACCTGCGATTGATATTCAAATTATTCATATTCGAAAACTCCTTATACATATTCATAAACTGATTTATTTTCTAAATCTTGTGATTTATATTCGATAATTGGTTATTCATATTTGTAAACTTATGATTTATATGCGAAATCTTCTGATTTGCATTTAAAAAAAAAATTGATACATGTATTTATATTCAAAAAAAAAAAAAAAAAAAAAAAAAAAAAAAAAAATGTAATAACATATATGCAAAAACTTGATTCGTATTCGATGATCTTGTGATTTATATCCGATTAATTTGATTTAGATACGAAATCTTTTTATTTTTTCGAAAAATGTTAATGTTACTTAATTTCGAGAAATTGTTATATTTATATACAAAAACTCGTAATTCATATTTAATAATCTTGTGATTTATATCAAATAATAAATATGTTTGATATGCGAAATCTTGTTATTCATACATGCGAAGTCTTGTTATCTATATATGCGAAATCTTGTGCTTTATATATATGCGAGATCTCGTGATTTGTATTTTTCACATTATTTGTATTTTTCACATTAGAAACTTGTTAATTATAAGCAAAATTTCGTGATTCATATCGGAGACAAAAACAACATTATATATGTCTCTTTTAATATTCGATTAACTTGTTATCTATATGCAATATGAATGACAACATAATCGAATATGAATCACAATTTTTTGAATAAAAATAAGTTTTTGAAGACGAATATCACATTTTCGCATATTAATCACAAGATTATTGTATGTATAAATCAAATGTCCACAGATATGAATATTTAACAATTATAGAACATAATCACAATATTTAGAATATGAGTCATATATTTACAAATATGAATCTAAAGTTTTCGAATATGAACAAGTTTTCAAATATGAGCAAGTTTTTGAAAATAATAAGTTTTATCAAACATAAAACAATATTTGTATAGTACAACGTTTACACCCCACAATTAAACAGAAGTGAACGAAATTAAACTTATTTTAGTTTGTCTTTAAAGAAATGATAAATACTTAGTCGGAAATTTTGCTTAAGGAGTTATAGTCAGTTAATTTAAGAGATATTTAAAGATATATTATGCAATTGTACTTAGGGTATTTTTTTGTCGATTTTAAATTACTTTATAACATTCTAGTCCATTCAATTAAATTTTTTTCTTTTAGACCATGAAGACCTTCGCCATTTTTTCTGCTGTCCTGGTAGCTGTGTCCGCCACGTTTTATGGTGGCGGAATAGGAGGCGGCATTGGTGTGCCATATGGCAGTGGTGGATATGGTAGCATTGGTGGAGGATACGGTGGATACGGTGGATATGGTGGCATAGGAAGTGGATACGGTGGATTGGGAGGAGGATACGGTGGATTGGGAGGAGGATATGGCGGACTTGGAGGAGGATACGGTGGACCTGGTGGATTTGGTGGATACGGTGGACTAGGGGGTGGATATGGCGGACTAGGAGGATATGGAGGACTAGGGGGAGGATATGGTGGATTAGGAGGATATGGTGGACTAGGGGGTGGATATGGTGGACTAGGAGGGTATGGGGGCATAAGGGGCGGATATAGTGGACTAGGAGGATACGGTGGATATGGAGGATACGGTAGCAGGGGATTTATTGCCGGTGGAAGGAGTGGATTTATCGGTGGCGGTGCTGGAGGCATTATTGGTGGAGGAAGAGGAGGTAATAAACTTTGAAACTTTTTTTTCGAATCACTGTAGGTATACTTATTGTTGAATATTAAAAAGATTAGCTCAAATTATGTTAGAAGATACTTGGAAAAATTGAATCCTGAATTATCCCTCTAACTTTCTCTCTCTCTCTCTCTCTCTCTCTCTCTCTCTATATATATATATATATATATATATATATATATATATATGAGAGATAGCGAGAGAGAGAGAGAGAGAGAGAGAGAGAGATTTTGGCATATGCATAATTCGCACTCAAGGCATTGCGCCAAAATCGTTAAATTGAAAATTAAGTATATATTAGTATACAGAAAAACTTTTTATGTTAATAAATCTAAGGATTGTCTTTTAACTCCGCCCATACTCGCTTTAAGTAATGTGTCGGGGGGGGGGGGGGGGTCTTAGTGAGTCAAGTTCATTAATTTCAGCTTTATCACTCAGTTTGTCAAGTTTTCGAAATTGAAGTTGAAGGAATTTTATAATAGCATCTGCACATTCCTATTTACTCTTTTAGGTATCATTGGAAGCAGCTATGGAAAGCCACGTAAGTAAATTTGCTCCAGAATTTGCTGGGGCGATACGTTCTGTAGTTCAGGTGCGATGTTATTTCCTTTATCACCGCAACATCTATTACACATGTAAAATGGTTAACAATATTCTGCTTAAAAATAAAATATAATCCACAATAAATTTGGCGTTTTAGAAACCTAGAAGAGAAAATTGAGCGATAACGATCTACTAGCATTAGACATGTTTATATTATTTTATCATTAAAATTATATAGCATAGGTTTCTTGAATTGAAAGTTCACAATTTCTATAGATATTCTTTAAGATATAAAATACAATAACCTTTTTTTTCTTGCAGAATATTAATCTCACAGACCCACGTTAAGAAGCTGGAGGAGTTAGATTATCTATCATTTATTTTTAATTAAAGATGTTTGCAAATTTTTATCTTTTTATTAATTTAATAAAAAAGACCAACATAGTCGCAAAGTTAATTAAAAATTCAAATATACATGTACATATATACAAGACGGCGTACTTGTGTCATAACCATAACTTTATGTTTTTAATGTTTTTATATTATGCATACATATTGCTTATATATGCATGTACATGTAGTGATTTTTTAATAACAAAAATATAACTTTAAAGAGTAGTCATGAAATATCAATGTTAAGTGCATTATTATTCATTATCACAGTGAACATGATGAAAAAAAGGTACATGCATGTCCTTTTTTAAAATTCTTCAGATGAAGTCATCACGGTTGCTCATTCGGTAGTCTATAGCTAAGAGCGCTCGCTTCGTGATTGGAAAGCCGTACGTTCAAGCCCCGTTCGCAACAAACCTAAGTCGATATAAAATAAGTGGCAACTGTTCCTTCACCAAGTTCATCGAAATGAATTTTGCATCTTTTGGATGAGAGCTTAAAAACTTATTTCTTGTTACGGCAGGTGTTGGCACGCTAACAAACCCTCACTACTCAATGACTTTAGGTACCGGTGTAAAGACGAATAATGACCCCGTAGAAAAATGACCGCTGGTCATTATTTGATGTCAAAAAATGATCCTTTTGCCTGAAGAAAAAGTGGCACCACCCTTAAAATCTGCATACTGTATGTGAAGAAATATAACCACCGTAGAATAATGAAGCCTCGTAGATTTTATTAGGGATATAGTTTTCTTTTTGGTAAAAAAAATGAGAATTTTAAATCGAGAGGCCTGTGGATAAAAATGCTCAGCTAAAAATATTCAATAGCTTCAAGTCAGATAAGGGAATTTCTTAATTTTTAACACTAAATGAAAACATCGCTTAAAGTTAAACAAGGTTATTGCAAGTTCAGGAAGCTCGTCTTTGAATCGTTTTTGTTTTCTCCTTTCCGATTACAGTATTTTTATTTTCCAATTCTTCTATGATCAATAAAAATTATGTTTTAAAATAATCATTGTAAACTTAAGATCAAACATTGCTGTTTCATAAATAATCACATTTAATTGTTTTTGTTCAGTAAGTTCAAATTTGATGGATATCAGCACTGAGACAGTCTGACATTACACTTGATATTAGACTGCTCACTAATATCGGACTGCTGCAGGTAAACTTTTAGACTGCAAGAACAAAGGAATGACATCACAGCAATTTTAAAAGAAGAATTACTTGATGATTTAGAGGCATTAATTAACTATCCAGTGTATGTGGCAAACAAAAGTTGAGATGCAAGCAATTTTGACGTACACTGCAAGAAAACTTCCATGAAAACCCTCGAAACTGCAAAGGAATAGAGTCAATAAAAAAACCTGATCAGATATCGATATCTGGTAACCAACGTGCACTTGATGCATGTGCAATATACATGAACCATCTTTGGTTTCCTGGATGCTTTTCTTTATCAGAGAAAAGTCTTGTCCAGAGAAGAAACATCAAATCTGTTCGAACAAATACATATAATATTCGCTAAATTATACAAGTAAATATCCAGTTCGTCTGAACAATTCCAAACAAAAACAATTTAATCTACTTTCTTCTAGAATACGAGTATACCTAATTCGTCGGAAGAAAGAACTAATTTATCCACATGAATATTTTGATCTCAGGGTAATATTGAAAATTCCAAAACTTTATTGCACATCTACGTACAGGACACCATCTTTCATATTCCAAAAAAAAAAAAAAATGGTTACTGCTAAATAAGAGGAGTTTGACGGAAAAGAATGTTAGACTGACGGACAGTGCAGGTATAAATACTTTAATTAAATGCAGACACTAAATATATGGTTTAAATGAAAAGAGAACACATATACATTCAATTACTTTATATCTGCATTTTTTTTTAAAACATCCAATCAAAGCTAACATTTTTGTTAGATTTTTTGTTTTACAAGACTTCAGACTTATCTTCCAGGTGTTTTATAAAGTTTGTATATTTGATATACATTTTTCCCCTTATAACCGCCCCCAAGGACAGGTCCGACACTTCCACCGAGAACAGGCCCGACTCCTCCACCGAGAACAGGCCCGAATCCTTCACCGAAAACAGGTCCAATTCCTTCACCGAGAACAGGTCCAATTCCTCCTCCTGCTCCTCTGAGAGGCCCAGCTCCTCCTCCGAGAGGTAGAGTTTGGCCGTAAAATACAGGATAAGAGCATGTGTTCACACCACCATTGTATCCTTTACAGCAATTAAGCGGCCCATAGCATTGATAATCGTGATTACAATATCCGTATCCTGACTGGCTGAACTGTGGACAGCCCCCGGGTTTGCTATATTCTTCTAGAACCTTGCATACTTTAATCAACGATAAGGATATGTAACAACATTTCTGGACCCCTGGACAGCTATAATCACTTACACAGTTCCTACTGCCTGCTCCTCCTGCGCCATAAGATGGACATGTACCGTATTTATTCTCTAGGCAATGAGAAGACAAAGGTTACTTTTTGCATTAGTTCTAGACGAAAGGGGCGAACGGGAATTTCATTTTGACTCAAATTGAAAAATCATTTCAAAAATCAATCAAAACATGTATCATCAAGATAATGCAAATGCAGTTCAATTTGAATCAAATTACACTCAGTTAACTCTTTTCCTTGGTTAATTTTCCTTAAAGTTTCAGTGCTAAAACAATTTGTCCACAGAATTGCTCTGATTTAATAGGTATTAGGACCGCCGAACATTAAGTAACGAGATTGGAAATATGTAGCTTACGTTATTTTCATCTGTTAGAGTCGAAACATTTGATGATAGACAATGAAATGGACGGATGCAGTTCGATACGGACGTCTAAGAAAACATTAGATCGAAATTCTTGTTTGAAATTCATTTCAATCCACCTCAGCTATGCTCGTAGGCAAATGTTACTGATTTCTCCAGAAGACAAATAATCTTAATTTTGAATAGTTTTTTTAAAATTAAATCAGAATTTTCTGTCCAGTGTTTTTATAGAAATAAAAAGAGGATGATAATTTGTCTCCTGTTTGGAGGATCCGGAGGGGGTTGAAATGTCTAGGAAATTAATCAGAAAGTTTTGAGTTTGGGAACCTCTCCCTCTTTTGATTGTCAAACATTTTTTAGTGAAGAAAAAAGTAAAAAAATTCTCTTGTCATCCTAGAAATAAGTATATTCTGTTACGTGAAGGCACGAACATAAATTATCTGATTTGACAAAATTTGTCAGACCCCTCCCCCTTTTTAGAATCAAATTGCCGTCCCCTGAAAGAATACATGTATAAGTTATTGAGTGTTCTTAAAATCTTTGTCTTTTGGATTATGCATTAACTTTGCGTTTGAAAGTAGCTTAGATGGATTGCAAATGAATATCGAACTAGAATTTCAATCGAATCTTTTCTCAGACGTCCTTGTCGAATTGTACCAGCCCATTTCATTGTCTATCATCAAATGTTTTGACTTTAGCAGATGGAAATGACGTAAGCTGCATATTTCCAATCTTGCCGGTTAATATTCCGTCGTCTTAAGTTATAGGCAAGCAGGATGGAAGTTAAGATGATAAGCTGTCAAAGCAGGTAACAACATTGTCTTTGTTTGTAAGGCTCATTATTTTAAATGTATTTTAGAAGAACTGGGATTTAATTCTACAAGGGCAATCCAACTTACACCCATAGCTCCCTTTCTAAGCAGGAAATTCCTCAAAGTCATATGTCAGTTTTGAATATTTTTAATATTCCCAACAACTAAAATGAATTTGAATTACCATATTTATACTGGATTCCGAAACTTCATGAAATTCCTTACATGTACAAAGATACATAGCGGGTTCCAGTAAATGTTCTACTAAGCCTCTTTCTATACTATATAGATTTCTTACTATATTAAAAGATGTAGACTTTAACAATTTCCTCCAGATGCATGACCCTAATGAAATACTAACTGAATTCTACGAATTATTTAATAGCGTACTTGACCAGCATGCACAAGTTAAAACCAAACGAGTAAAGAGTGAAATCCGTCCTAAATGGATGACACAAGAAATAAACGATGCTAGACACTTACGTGACTCTTACCACAAAGAAGGAGATATGGAAAACTATTGACTTTATCGGAACAAAGTTAGTCTTCTTATAGATAAATCAAAATCTTCATACTATAAAACAGCGATTGAACAGAGTTCAAATCCCAAAGAAATGTGGAACTATCTTAATCAATTAACATGTAATTCAAAGAATATAACTCCATCTCGTGTGTTTTCTAACGGGGGAATTATTGATAATTTACAGGATATTGCAAATACTTTTAATAACCACTTTTCAGATGTCTCAAAGAAGCTTCTTTTGAGAAAATGCCAAAACATGAGTATGATCCAAATATATTACGTAATTTTGTTAGGTCTAAGCTTGATGATGAAACCTTTTTTAGTATTCATCTAATTGAGGAAAGTGAAGTTTTTAACATGTTAAATTCTCTTAATATCAATAAATCAGCTGGCGTTGACTTTATTGGACCGCGACAAATTTAAAACAAGCCAAAGTAACACCTATTTTTAAGAAAGGTGACAAAGCTGACCCGAATAATTATCGTCCAATTTCTATTCTACCGACTATATCTAAATTGATAGAAAAACATGTAGCTAAGCTAATACAAAATTTCACTAATGAATTTAATCTACTAACACAATCCCAGTCGGGGTTTAGAGAATTCCATTCGTGTCAAACTTCACTTACAAAACTAACAGAAAGTTGGCTTAATGCAATGGATCGTGGTGAACTAATCGGTATTACATTTATAGATTTTAGTAAAGCATTTGATTTGGTGAATCATAATATTCTTCTAGAGAAATTAACCCATTACAAATTTGACCATACAGCTATAAAGTGGTTTAAGTCATATCTTTACGACAGGACCCAGTGTGTTAAATTTGGAACATGTGTCTCCAATATTCTACCCGTCACAGCAGGAGTACCACAGGGCTCAATTTTGGGTCCACTTTTATTTTTATTGTACATAAATGACCTTCCATTACATGTAAACAATTCAAATATTGATATGTTTGCTGATGATGTAACTCTGTATTCTAATAATCATAATGCAAGATGTTTAGAAAATACACTAAATTCAGATATTTGCGAGATTGAGAAATGGTGTGCTCAAAACCAAATGGTATTGATTGATTGTATATTGTTTTACGTCCCATTCGAGAATTTTTCACTCATATAGAGACGTCACCATATACCGGTGAAGGGCTTCAAATTTTGACCTTTACTCGGCACTCAGGGCCATTGAGCAGTGAGGGATCTTTATCGTGCCAACGCCTGCCGTGACACGGGGCTTCGGTTTTTAAGGTCTCATCCGAAAGACCCGCAACTTTCACTTCAAAGTGCCGAGCGCATGGCGAAGGAACAGTTGCTACCTATTTTTTATCGACTTAGGTCTGTCGCGGCCGAGATTCGAACTCACGACCTCCCGATCACGAAGCGAGCGCTCTACCGACTGAGCTACCGTGAACGGTCACCAAATGCTATTAAATGTAGACAAAACAAAATGTATGCTAATGGGGACATAGCAAAGAAAATCAAAACTAGATAATCCAAATTTACAACTTTATGCCTCAGACAAAACAATTGAAATGGTTGAAACTGAGAAACTTCTTGGTGTACATATTGATGATAAGTTACAGTATGCAAATCATATTGATTCAGTTTGTAAAAACCATAAACTATAAGTTATTTACTCTACGTAAGATAAAAAAAAATTCTTCCCCTACATACCAGAAAACTATATTACAATGCTTATATTCTACCATCTATTAACTATTGTTTGACTATTTGGGGTAATGCCCCCAAGCAGGACATGGGTAGACTATTTAATTTACAAAAAAGGGCAGCCAGGATTATTCTTGACGCAAGTCCTGATTCTTCTTCTAAACCACTGTTTGAGAAACTTGGATGGTTAACTGTTTATGAGCTAGTTGATCCATACAAATACATATTATTATACAAAATTTTCAGCAGAATGACTCCCGAATATCTTTGTAATTTATTTGAATTTCATTACTCAACTTCTTATAACCTGCGATCTGAAACTAATTATCACCTTAAATTACCTAAGTTCCGTACAATCTTATTCAAAACCTCTTTTCAGTACTCAGGTGTGCACCTATGGAATAAACTTCCCCAGCACATAAGACTCTCTCAATCTCTACGAGCATTTAAGTGTAATGTAGAAAATTACATTATCAGCTGTCGTACAATTATTTGAGCACAGTAAGATTTTGATATCCTATCTACAATGTGATTGTTAGTTGTATGTACATATTACCAGACATGGACACTCTATTCATAATTTTGTGATTGTAATTCCTTAAGACTATATCTGTTTTATGTCGAATTGTATATTTACATGTGTACTTGTTTATCTCTGTAATTGATATATAGAAGGCCATGGGGAAGAATAGTGCATGCACTAACCAGGTTACCTTCTTTAAATAAAGTTTTATTATTATTATACTTCTCACTAAAATATTACTGCAGTGAAGGAGAAACTTCAGGAGTACTGTGCAACAGTATATTCGATAAGTGGTGTAAATCAGATGTGGATACTTAAAGATTCCAAGGAACTTATGGAAAGGACGAGATAGGCTAAAGCCCCTTTTATGGCCCCTGGTTTGGAGTGCTTTTCAGAATGATGTAACAGTTTATCAATAAACAAGGAACTTTTGGAAAATTTAAAATCACAAAATGTTACCAAAATCAATAGCATAAAAACTTAAGACTTTTCAACTCTGTATACAACCATCCCCAACGATAAATTAAAGTCCAGGCTTTTTGACATCATTGGCAGCTGTTTTTTCTATAAAAATGGAACTCGTAAATTTACTTATCTTTTCATTGGTCATTTGCTAAATTATTTTATTAAAACACTATGGTTGTACACACAAGTACTCTGAAGTTGATATTAAAAAGATGCTTGAGTTTCTGATTGACAATATCTATGTGCTTTTTGGAGAACAGGTCTTCCAACAATCTGTTGGAATTCCCATGGGTACCATTGCGCCCCATTGTTAGCAGACCTTTTTTTGTATTCATATGAAGCAGAATTTATTCAAAGTCTTATAAAGAAATCTCTTGATGGGGCCTT